AGGAGCAACAAAGTCGTAGTAGAAGGTGTATGCTCCATATACAAGTCCGATTCAGTTTCCAAGAAAAACTGGTTACGTTTCTGCACTTTGCCCGACGAGCGATCACTACGCAAACTTTTACACATGGCTCGAAAATTTCCTTTAACACCGCACTCATCACAACTGAACTGCTTAAAACGACACCTATCCGCCGAATGCGGCCGTCCACACCGCCAGCAGACTTGTTGTCGCGAATCCTGCATGTGGGCAGCGCCAGCAGCCGCCTATGCACCGATCTTGTGCACGCTGCCTGCGCCGAGCGGCCCCGTGCCGCAGCCGCCCGCCGCTGCTACGCCGCTCGTCTCGACGTGTCGCTTCGCAGCCTCCAACGCTAGCGAAAGCTCCACCGCGCGCTTATAGTCTAGTTCCTTTTCCGCAAAAAGACGACTTCTCATTTCGTCACACGCAAAGCCGGAGACGAATTGATCTCTTAGATTTTCCTCTAATTTTTCAGCAAAGTTACACGTACTTGCGAGGTGTTTTAAATGTTGTAGATATGAACCGAGATCTTCGCCAATTTTCTGCCGCCTCTGCCTAAAAATGTGTCTTTCCGCAATATCAGAACGCCTGGGTTCTAGATGTTGTTGAACGATGTCGATTAATTCATCGAAACATTTTTCTTCTGGCTTATTCGGCGCACATAAGTCGCACATCAAATCATACGTGGCTTCGTCGACGACGGTAATTAATGTGGCCATGTGCAATGATTCTTTAATTTCATTCAAGGCGATAAACTGCTTGACATGATTTACGTAAGCTGACCATTTCCGAGACGATAAATCGAAACTTTCTATTTTTCCAAAAGGCATGACGGTAACTATCGCGGTTTAATACTAATATCACACTTTTTACTAATAATGTTATTAAACTCGTCGCCAGTTATATATTAGGTAGTGAAACACGAGCGGTGGTTTTAACAACTGATTTATTAACCTACATGACGGTATTTGCATAAGTAACAATATAAACATACCCAACATCACCTAATTTGACAAAAAATGCTTTATATTAGTTAATAAAAATAAAAAACCAGAGCCCATATATAAGGCTGACGAATTAATAAAATCACATGGTCATAATGTTTTGCGACTGTCCTCATATCATGCGGATTTAAATCCAATTGAGTTAATATGGAGTGTCGTGAAGAGACGTTTCGCATAGAAAAATGTCGGCCAGAGAGACGATCAAGTGGAATCACTTATAAAAGAAGTGTTTGGCTCAATAAACAATGAGCTTTGGAAAAAAGAGTGCTCACATGTTATAAAATTTGAAGATGAGTACATAGTCAAAGATAAAATAATGGATAAAGGAAGTGATCGCTTTTTATTGTGGGTTGGCAGTGATATTGACGAAAGTGATAGTGACAGTGATCATTCAAGTAAAATTGAAGAATATAATATGATTCCTTTTGATTATAATTATATAAAGTAATTCTTTATTACCCTGTCTCTTTTAATTTATCCTGATTATTTCAAATGACGTGTGAATAATTTCATAGAGTACACTATGATACTTAAAAATATATATAAGCACGTCAGTAACAAAATTTAAATTACGAAATTAATGCCCTTATTCCTCTACTAAATAAAGTAGTTTTCAAGATTTAACTGTTAGGGCAAAGTGCCTTTGACAGTATAAGCAAGGTTTGAACCTGCAACCTCGTGCTTGACATGGATGTCATACATGCTTTTCCGCTTCCATAATTTTTGTCCCTACATTTTGGGAACGCTATTCGTATTAAAGCATGCAACACTGTAAATTATAGTGCTGCCAAACAGATTACGCGTCAAGTTACGATGAACGGACAATACTTCAGTGGGTTTACACCACACAGACTAATAATATGATGCTTACGCATGTGGTTTATTATCACCACAAACTAATAAGAAATGATTATCACAAAGTTTTACAAAGAGTATATAATCACTACGTTTTGCAGTTTGTGTCGTAATTGCATCATTCATCAGGTGGTAGTTCATGCGAATGAGATGTGGATGGTTGTTCTTCCTGTTAATCTTTATTGGTGAATGGAAAGCCTCCAGCAGTTTCCAGAACTCATTCCGATGTTATAGCAGTACCATGGCTTCAGCCAATAGCTGTCAACATGCAAAGTTGCTAGGATTTCATAGCTAATGTCTACATTTTCGGGTGGTGTGTTAAATATATCTGCAGAAAATATAGGTTTAACATCTTCTCATGCCGATATAATATCGTCAATAGTCCATCGGTAAACAGAAAACAAAAAAAACGTCTAAATATTATATTCCAATGAAAACAATCTTCATGGAGTCTCCTGTTCTCAGCGCACCTTAAGTGGGGTGAAATCTTACAAAAACAACATATGAAAACAAAATATCATAGTTTTCAATGTTTGTGGTAATAAATATATTAGTTCATTATCATATAAAAATATAACTTGAAGTAAATTTGTTTTTAATTATATAAAAGTGATAACTTTAGTTTAAAGTTTTTCTCGAAGTCATGTTAACCAAAATTCATGAAATTCGAAAAATTATTAAATATACACAAGTGCACGTTATTTTCAGCAATGATTCTTAAATGGCGGCTAATGTAGTCTATTTGATTATTTATTAAATAAACAGGTATTTTGTGTTAAAATGTAAGTGCACCTTAAATGGTACGCTAGGAGAATATGGGTTAAAAATCTACTTATTAGGAGATTTTCTTAATACTAAGAGAAGTGTATTCCAGAGATGTACAGCTGTAACAGCGAAGAAGTTTGAGAGGAAACCAGAACGATGAGAGATGATTTGCAGTACTAGATTGTTATCAGACCGAAGATTGCAATCATGTGAAGATGGGCCAATGAATTGTTTGGATAGTGAAAAAAGTGCTAAGAATTCAAAGATTCCTGCATCGTGGAATATTCAACCATTTAAATTAAGAGCGATAGAAAGAGATGTGGTCATACTTTCGATGACCGAAAACGAAACAGATACAGTTGTTGAGAAGTCGATCCCATTTTTTGACAAAGTAATTGTTTGCATCTAAGTACAAACATCGCACTTCCTCAACGTGACTGCGCCAAGTAAGAGAACAAGTCTAACGGTAATCCTAAGTCCTTAACATTACGGAATTACTTCGCCATTATAAATCAGTGGATCTAATGATGTGAAGTTTATCTAATTGACGTACGCTGCCTAACACTATATAGCTTGGCATTTGCTAGGATTAACAGTGACCCTGTATCGCTTGACCAATTAAGAATCCAATAGTGACTAAGATCGGAGTAAATCACGGCTACAGCATTATTCATGTTAATAACATCGACATGAGCATATAGTTGCAAGTCGTCGTCATACAGATGGCACGAAGGTTGCAAGTAAACATATTAATAAACTAGCTGATACCCGCGACTTCGTCCGCGTTGCTTGACATATTAACAAAGTTTTCGATCTCCTCCGCGGCAAGAAAACATAAATCACTGACACGTAGTGCTTATAAAAGTCGTAGTTTCTTAAAACTTTAATAACTTTGTATTTAATGAAATATAGCAATATTATTTTTAGTTAGGGGTTAAGTGTCTAAGAAATAATATTTAGATAACCTAATTGAAATCTATCTAGTAGTTTTTCCATGATGCGCGCACAACTGCAAACCTCTATCATTTTATTTAGGTATATAGAAATAGAGAAAAGTAATTGAGAGAGAATTCCGCCTTGCGAAACACCAGTAGATAAGTCGCAACAATCGGAAACCATACTGTCGATACGAACCGCCATTCCGTACTGACAAGAAAAAATTTATGTAGGACAAGATGGCGATGAGAATATCATGATCAACTGTATTAAAGGCGTTAGAAAAATCGTATAACCGGATACCGTATTTCAAGTATTGCTCCAATACATAGTTATTGCAACTATTGACGTTTTGTATCGCTCGTGTCTAATGTCTTTGGCACTTTACCTCATGGCATAGAGTAAGCCTTATGGTCGAAGTCTAACTGTAATGAAATATTTAGTATGGCTAAAATTAGTAAAGTAGACAATAGTAGGTCTCCCGTGTAGTGGCAGTGTAACATTATCTACTACCTCTTCTCATCCCATGGGTGTCGTAAAAGGCGACGGAGGGAATCAAACAAAGGGATGGGCAGCATTGTCTTTCTGATAACAGCTAGGAAATAATTAAAAAACTGCGGTTGCCTACCCACCTGCCAAGAGTAGCAACTATGGCAAGTAACCCCCCTAAAAGGCAATCTAAGGGGTGCCTATGTTCAGCTGTTGACTTTGAAAGGCTGCAATGACGATGATGATTTTTGGTGAAAATATAATAAATTAAATAAACCGTAATTGTTAATTCATTTCAATAATAAGATACGAGTTAAAGTGTAATCAGAGTAAGTAACTAAGTGATACATATATTCATTCATTTATAAATAGAAATATATTATGTTTTTTTTATATAGGATAGGGTGACAAACGAGCACACAGTCCACCTGATGGTAACTGGTTACTGTGACCCATAGACATATACATCTATTCTCAATAAAGACTAAAGATGCTGATGCGTTGTCACCCGTGAGGGCTAAGATGGAATGCCTCTTTGCCAGTAAAAAGGGTCTCCGGTTCTCTACACTCACCATACGAAACACAGCAGCGTTAAGCTGCTATTTTACGCTGGTTTTCTGTGAGAGCGTGGTCCTTCCCCGGTTGAGCCGACCCATTCGTGCTACAACTATACTACTAATATAGCTGCAGCATTGCTCTACCACGTAAAAAATTGATGTGAATTTGAAATGTGAAAAATATTAAAAAATACTCCCCTATTACAAAACAAAACATAGACAATGTTTATTAAATTAGTTAGCAACACTGTTGCCATCGATAAGAACAAATGAAATACGGCAACGTCACGCTCAGCTAAGTGAAAAGTGGTATTCATTTTCATTCGGCGTTTTGAAATTGTAAATTTACTAATTTTACATTTAATTTGTGATAAAAATGGCAGACAACAAAAGGTAAGCATTTGTATTATTCGTTTTTATTTAAAGACAAACTTTATAATAAGAGTAATAAATAATCTATTCTACACCTATGTTCGAAAATTGGCTTGTCATCATGTCTAACATTACGGTGGAACCAACATTTTTTTGTTAAATATATGAAAGAACATATCCCTGCCAAAAATTTTAATTAATAATCTCAGTTACCTGCAGATTATCGTGCTACTTTATTAGGTATTGTTTCATAAGCGACGCTATTTGATTTTATGCATTTACAGCTTATTTATTGATTGTTTTTCGCAGTCCCGATGATTTATCCACCGCGATCCTCCGCCGTAAGGACAGGCCGAACCGTCTCATCGTCGAGGAAGCCGTCAGCGATGACAATTCCGTTGTGGCACTATCTCAGGTCAGATTGCCTTTGTGTATTAACCCAATAAAACATAGATAAAATATTCTTTGTTAGATCTCAGTTATGATGCTGCATGTATTTTTTCAGTGAATATTATACTTAAGTTAATGGTTTTCGATTCAAAATAATAAGTTTGTGTTTTTAGGCCTTTTCACATTAAAATCCTAAACCATTACTGTTATACATTTTGTGTTTTTCTATTAAGATTTTTAGAACAGAGCAATGAGCAAACAGCTTAACAATGTAAAATAACAAAGTCCAGCTTCTGGACATGGACCTCTAATTTTTGACAGAATATTTGACTAAATACAATTATGAGTCAATCATAATGTTCATTGTGACTGCTGCATATTTCTTCTATCAATGTTCATCTGAGGTCCCACCCACCAGCATTTAGTCAAGAGCTGTTAATGCACTTGGACCATTCCAAAAGTCTCCTCCATATTTTGTAAATGAGCTATTTGTTAATGTAAGTGGTAATTTGCTAATTTATCACATCTAATCAAAGATATAGAATAATACCGGAGACTCTTTTTACTTAACCTGAGACCTTTTTTACTGGAAATGATTTCATCTTATTCTTTGTGGATGACAACACATTTGCATTGTGATTCTTAAATCCAGGATGGATGTAGATGTCTATGGGTCACAGCATCCACTTGCCTTCAAGTGGACTGTGTTCTCACATGTCAACTTTGTTCTATTAAAAAAAAACTTTGATGCCTGAGGAAAATTACAAACTTTTTGTGTGAATATTATAAATATTTGTATGTCATGATTATGACAAAGCATGCTGGATTTTAATTGTTTACCAACCTGTATTGTACCATGTTTTCTGCAAATAAATTAGCATTATGATAGTAAAATATGAAGATGTTGTACATATTAAATCATTGATATTTTATTTCTTAAAATCGATGATCATTGAACGTTGATGAGTATTTCAAAGACACATTGTAAACAAAACTAAAGACTTGTTAAGAAATCATTTTGCTCATTTGCTTAATAGGAGTAGTCTTCCATTGCAATTGCTCTCCACAACCCTTATAGAAATGAGTGGAAGCTTTTTTAGATAAGACTTAAGTTGATGTTGATAATTATTTTGTGTTAAAAGTTTGTGCTTACATTGATAATATACTGCTTTCATTATCTACACAAATACATATTGCACTATATGTATTTGTGTAGATATTATACAATATTTGATCACCACAAAACTTTCTGCTATATATCTAGTCAGGTCATAAATTCTGTCACGTTTAATATAAAATAATTGAAACAAGTTTATTCATTATGTAACCATTTATATACCAAAATGAACTTAACAAAATATAGATTCTTATGACACTAAAGTTTATTCAAAATGACCACCGTGATTTTGAATAGGCCTTCAATGCGATAGACGAGCACGAACGAGGTCCATGTCAATATTGGCGGCTGCCTTAATCAAGGCTGTCTTGAGTGATTCCAAATTGGGATGAGGCTTTGAGCACGCCTTTTCCTCCAAGTGTTGCCATATCTTGTAATCTAACGGATTCAAATCTGGACTGGAGGAGGGCCAGTCTTCGTGCCGGATGAAGTCGATTTCACGCGCCGCCAGCCAGTCTTGTGTGCTCTTCGCTCTATGAGCTGGCGCTGAATCTTGTTGGAATACCCAGTGCCTGTTATTGAACATGGTATGAGAAACAGATTCCACAAGGTTCGTCAGGACTGTATTTTGATACACAACTGCATTCGTTTTTACACCTTTCTCACAAAAATGTACCTCTGTTAAGCCCCAATAAGAAACTCCCAACCATACCATGAGCGAGGATGGAAAATGACCTCGTTGGACACGCGGAATACGGTTGCTCGCTTCTTCACTACTGTGTGTGTACACCTTATTATTTTGTTTGTTGTAGCTCTCTTCTACGGTAAAAATTTTTTCATCCGAAAAAAGAATTTCCCGATATTTTTTTCCCGCGTACCGCTTCAACAAAGCGCGGCATCTCTTCAGTCTCAGGTCCATTAGATGAGCATTCAAACTATGTCCTGTTTTTCTTCGATATGCCTGAAGCCCTAAGTCTTCATTTAACACCCTTTTCACCGTGGTTCTGCTTAACCCCATCTGAAGGGCCAACAGTTTCTGCTTACGTTTGGGATTTCTTTGAATTCGGCGCCTTCACAGCTTTTATCACTGCTGGAGTCCTAACAGACCGAGGGCGACCACTTCTTGACCTGTCATCTACACTAGAGTCTTCATTGTATCGTTTGATGGTACGATAAACAAATCTTTTGGTTATATTCAAATTTTTCAGTATGTCAAAAATTTGAATTGGCGCGTAACCGCATCGATGCAACGCAATAACTGCAACACTGTCTTCTTTAAGCGTCCACTCCATATCTAAAAATGAGTAAAATTCTAAAAAGTATACAGTTTTATTTTCATGAACAATTCGAAATTCGAATTCAATAAACTTTTTTGTGGCCAGCATTCATTCTAAAAGAAAAGTTTTTACTGTGTGAGAAATATTTGGATTAGGGATATTTGGATATTTGCTATAGTTGTCACAATTGGCAGGCAGGTTTGGCAACCACAGTTTTATTTTTAAGGAGTAATTATTAGGAAGCCACTGCTGCCCATGTCTTGGCTTATATACTCCTGTTGCCTCTTACAACAACCATGGGGCAATATGGTGTAGTGGATATTTTTACATGGGCACTAATACCTAAAATAGTAACTTGTAAGATGCTTAGTATAATATACAAAAAAAATTATAGCTAAAATAAATAGACAACACATTGTGTAAAAATACTTAAATAGTGAAAAATAACATATTTATAATATAAGTATTTACATATATAATTAACACACTTTTGAGTGAAATCAGTTCTTAATCTAAATAAAAATACATGAAATCGTTCATTGTTGTATATATTTTTTTATCCCACAATATTTTCAAAATAGGTACTTACTGCCATTTTTTTTAAAACTAACTTTTAAAAAATATTTATAGATCTTTGACATTTTGTTATAAGTTGTAATTGTAAATAAAATTGTATCACTGCTTTAAAAAAAAGACCCCAGTTTCTTGCCACTTCTTTTCTGAGAATGTCTTGTTTTTGCAAATGTGTAGACTTTACTTCAAAATTAGAGCTTCAAACAAACCTTAAATGAATATAGCTTCGACTTTGAATATAATATACAGGCAAAAATGGAGCAACTGCAGCTTTTCCGAGGAGACACTGTACTTCTTAAAGGCAAACGCAGGAAAGAAACAGTTTGCATTGTACTTTCGGATGACAACTGTCCAGACGAGAAGATCCGCATGAACCGTGTCGTACGTAACAACCTGCGTGTGAGGTTATCTGACATTGTGTCAATTGCTCCTTGTCCATCAGTCAAATATGGGAAAAGAGTACACATACTGCCTATTGATGATTCTGTTGAAGGATTAACTGGGTAAGTTACTTAATATTATTTAGAATATAATTTGTATTCTAATTTCTTTCATCATACAAACAACTCTAACTATTAAAAATTGTATGATTTGAACCAAGGCAGCAAAATAATATGAGTATAATCAACTGTGTAAGATTGGTATATTATGTAACCGTCACTGTTACAGTCAATCAAAAGTTCGCTGCTGAACATGGGCCTTCACCATAGGGGGGGAGGGAATATTTGTCATAGTTACCACACTTAGATGTTATTAAGAAGATGCTGCAGCCTATCTCCTGGCTAGTTTCTTTCTGTCGCTCCTTACGACGCGCATGGAACGATATAGGGTAGTGGATATTCTTATACTACACTACACTGTGAAAGATTAGTCAAGATCATGAGTCTATACATTTAACAAAGAAAACATTTTAATTTTTTTTATAATGATGTTTCCACTAGGAATTTCTCCAATATCCTGGACACCTTATGTATGCTTAATAGACTAATTAATGAGACAATTCTATCCACGGTAATTGCATCCAGCATTGCTTCGCGCTGCTGACTTTGCCATATTTTCACAACTTTCTTAACAAGCCATCAAATTTTAATTTTGGATTAGAAATCATTGCTTTTTTGTAAAGTTTTGTTTCTAATATTATATTCTTTATTACCAGAAACCTATTTGAAGTATACCTAAAGCCTTACTTCATGGAGGCATACAGGCCCATCCATCGTGATGACACCTTTATGGTGCGTGGTGGCATGCGGGCTGTGGAGTTCAAAGTTGTTGAAACAGATCCTTCACCTTACTGCATTGTAGCGCCAGACACTGTCATACATTGTGAAGGAGAACCAATCAAGCGAGAGGTAATTTATTGTAATAATTCTAAAAACAAACAAAAAATTCAAATTTGTTATTATGTTAATGTTAAAATAGTCAATTCTCTTAAGAATAAAGTTATATTGGTATAAAAGAATCAGTTACACCATTTTGAGTAATAAGTCGCTAAAGAATGGTAGTGGAATAACAAACCATTTTGTTGTTTCAAAATCAATAAAATCAGAATGATGAATGTGATACTTAAGATGATTATCCATTGATCCTTGACTTGTTACAGATAGATAGATGACTATTTTAATATCATATTGACCTGTTATTCTATATCATATTTTACTGCTTGGAATATATTTATATTGCTTGATCAAAACTACCAACTCCAAATTCTAAAACAAATTTTATTTTAAATTAATTTAAATTAATTACTGTATAAATTTTTTTAACAGGAAGAGGAGGAAGCTCTTAACGCTGTTGGTTATGATGACATTGGAGGTTGCCGCAAACAATTGGCACAGATTAAGGAGATGGTAGAATTGCCTCTGCGTCATCCATCGCTTTTCAAGGCTATTGGTGTGAAACCACCTCGAGGTATTCTCATGTATGGTCCACCTGGTACTGGTAAAACTTTGATTGCTCGCGCTGTTGCTAATGAGACTGGTAAGTTTAAGCTGTAAATTCTATCAGTTAAGCATGTATATATGTGTAGCTAACCAATAATTTTATTTCAGGTGCATTCTTTTTCTTAATCAATGGACCGGAGATCATGTCTAAGTTGGCTGGTGAATCTGAGTCTAATTTGCGCAAAGCTTTCGAAGAGGCTGACAAGAACTCACCGGCTATTATCTTCATTGATGAATTGGATGCAATTGCCCCTAAGCGTGAGAAAACCCATGGTGAAGTGGAGCGTCGTATAGTGTCGCAATTGCTTACTCTTATGGATGGTAAGTTATAGGACATCACACTATTACTGTAGTACACCTCTTTATCTTCCGGTGCTCTATAAACCACGCATGACAAAGGGTTAAAGGATGGTTCAGATGCTGGATGTTTATAAAATTAAATTATTATCTCAGGAAACAGCAAAATATGTCCATATCAAGTTTATATGTTAATACTACTCACTAATTTGGCAACTGCTGGTGAGTTTTAGATATGGGCACTGGAACAATATCAGCACCGGAGCTATTTTGCATCATAATGCAGAGCCAGATGCCTATTTGTTGCTACAGTATATTATATGTAAATATACCTGTGCTGCAATAATGTATATTTTACAGGTAATGCGTATATTAGTAAACCTAGGCATACCCAGTGCTTTTAGGGTAAAGTTCTAATAATAATTAAAATTAAGAAAAAGCAGATGGGAGCATCAAGGTTGTAGTAGACGGTGCATGCTCCGATTACAACCCTATTAACGCTGGTGTTCCACAAGGCTGCATGCTATCACCAACGCTGTTTCTTCTGCATATCAATGATATGTTGCAAACCAGTAACATTCATTGCTATGCAGACGACAGCACTGATGATGCTTTATACACCGGCTGTGCCAATATTTCTCGGGAAAACGTCGCCGAGTACCGGAACAAACTTGTGTCTGAAGTCGAGTCTTTGCTGGACAAAGTCTCAGATTGGGGGCGACTAAATCTAGTCCAGTTTAATCCTCAGAAGAAACAAGTTTGCGCGTTTACCGCTAAAAAGAACCCCTTTGTCGTATCTCCTCAGTTTCAAGGCACTCCCCTTGTTGCCTCAGCCAGTATCGGTATTCTCGGTGTCGACATATCGAGTGACGTGCAGTTTCGTGGTCACTTGGAAGGGAAGGCCAAATTGGCCTCTAAAAAGCTTGGCGTGCTCAGCAGAGCGGGACAGTTATTCATGCGGGCGCACCGCTTGCAACTTTACAAGGCGCAGGTTCGGCCTCACATGGAATACTGTTCCCATCTCTGGGCAGTCCTTCCACTTGACCGCATCCAGCGCATAGCGGCTCGAATCGTCGACGACCGAGTTCTTTCCGATCGGCTTGACTCACTGGCACTGCGTAGAGATGTTGCATCTCTGCGTATTTTATCGCATCTACCACGGGGAGTGCTCTGAGGAATTGTTCGGACTAATTCCAGTCGCTCAATTTCACTATCGCACATCGCGACAAAACTCGTGGTACCATCAATATCATCTGGATGATTGGCGGTCCACCACTGTGCGATTAAGAAGAAGTTTTCTCCCTCGCACAACTTCCTTGTCGAATCGATAACCCCAGCGATTTTTCCGGACTGATACGACTTAGGGACCTTCAAGAAAAGAGCCTACTCCTTTTTAAAAGGCCGGCAACGCATCTGCGATTCCCCTGGTATTGCAGTAGTTCATGGGCGGCGGTAGTCACTTACCATCAGGTGAGCCGCATGCTCGTTTGTCCCCTCTCCTATTAAAAATAATTAGGACTTATGTTAAATTTGTCAAAAATATGAAAGCATATATCAAGTAATATAAGCAATAGTAAGTTAAAGTGCGGCCAAAGCCGTATACATTTATTTAATATATAAACTATTCAGATTTTACCCAATGAGCACCAGGTAAAATTAGGTTTATTTGTCCTTTGGACATTACTTGTAATATATTTATTATTCTCTAGCTTCATATAAACTTGTTTCTTCCTTTCATTGTTACTCATTGTATTGTTTTATTTAAAATAAAATAATGTGATCATTCAGCCAATCACTGACAATTTCAATGAGATTGCATTTATAATTAATACTAGCTGTTCCCCGCGACTTCGCTCGCGATTTAGGGTTTTTATGTTTTTGCGCGGAACCCTAATTCTTTCTCTAAAATAAAAGTAGCCTAAGTTACTCCTTATGACATCAGTTACCTGCCAGTGAATGTCCCGTCAAAATCGGTCCAGCCGTTTCGGAGATTAGCCGGAACAAACAGACAGACAGACCGACAGACAGACAAAAAATTTAAAAATTGTGTTTTTGTTATAAGTATCGTATATACTTTCATATGCAATTAGTAAAAAGCTGTAATTTTGACATTACAAACAGACACTTCAATTTTATTTATTTGTATAGATGTTCAATGAGGCATAAGTAGATGGACACTGAAATAAAAAAAAAATATTTAAAAAGTAAAGTTTACTATTTATAAAATTGTGTATTAAATAGAACTACAAATGTAACTGTTAAATATCTTGTTCTGTAGGTATGAAAAAATCATCACACGTCATAGTGATGGCTGCAACCAATCGGCCGAATTCGATCGACCCTGCTCTGCGTCGTTTTGGTCGCTTCGATCGTGAAATTGACATTGGTATTCCGGACGCTACTGGCCGTCTTGAAATATTGCGCATTCACACTAAGAACATGAAGCTCGGAGATGATGTAGATTTGGAACAGGTGAGCTTACTTTTGATATCCAATATAAATCCGAGCTAAATTACTATTAAAGCCAAATCATGTTGGTATAACCCAAAGTTGAGGATATTTATTGTTTTTACTTCATGTAAAATTAAATATTGATAATTAATAATTATGATTAAAAAAATGTGTTAAAATTAATCTTTTATGAAATAATATAAACAAGTGTTTTGAATCATTCAAACACCCCCTAATGAAAAAAAGGATTAACCAAAATTTATTTAAAAACCATTGTTTAGATCGCAGCAGAGTCCCATGGTCACGTTGGTGCAGATTTGGCGTCACTTTGCTCCGAAGCGGCATTGCAACAGATCCGAGAGAAAATGGACCTCATTGACCTTGAGGATGACCAGATTGACGCAGAAGTGCTCAACTCACTTGCTGTTTCTATGGATAACTTCCGTGTAAGTAATGACTACATCTTATTTCAACTTTCAACTTAGGAAATGATTTATTCCATAGCTCTAGTACCTCAGAGCAACCTGTCTAAATGCTTCATAACTCACTCAGAAATAAGAATTGACTCCAATACTTGATCAAAACTATACAATATTTGACGGTGATAGTGCTGGCGAAACACGTATACAATATTTGTTAAGAATGCGGAAGAAAAAAGTGAATAGATGTAAGAAACAAGTCCAACAAAGAATATTTCAGTTTATTGGGCAACTAAGAATGGTTTTAAATATTAACATTTAAAAACCATTAAGTTTTAAACTTGAGTAGCTGTATTTATGATTGTTTATAGTAAGAACCAATTACAAAAACGACTTGCCATTGTCTTTTTTATAATCAAATGATTGAAGTATTTTCTAGAAATATTTTTTTTCTAATCAGGTCCTTGATCTCTTAAAATGCTTTTGAAGTAATAATATCACTGTTTAGATTCAAATTGTTTTTGTAACCAGTAATAGTGATTGTTTAATATGGTAATTTACAATATTATTATATTCATAACAAATCAGGTGATGGTTCTTCAGACATTCTGAAGAACCATCACCTGATTTGTTATGAATGGGCCATTTACATTGGATGATAACTTTAGTGTTACCCAGTGTAAGGTTAAATTGTTTAAAATGCTATATGTTATATATATTTTTTTAAATCTTTATTTAAGAGCTTCATCAAAATGCGATTATGTCGCTCTATTTGACATCATTTAGAACTAAATAACATTCAATTTAACAAGCAAACAAAAATGAAAACAAGTACATCTACTTGACTGATCTGAGGAAAATATTATGTTATATAATTTAGCCAATAATTTTGTTTCATCGGAATGAGGATTGGATAAAATAATGTTACAATCAGCAAATTCCTTTAAAACATTTTTACACTTAGCTATTCGAAAGGCAGCATTGCGGGCACACTCCATCAAGACATGCATTAAGTCCTCAGGAACACCGCATTGTTCACAGTTCGGTGACAGGACTTTATTCATAAGAAAAGCAAAAGTCTTGCATGGAATGTGTCCAGAACGCAGCCTCATAATCACTACTGCGTCCTTTCTTGGTGATATGTGACTATCAGTCCATGGAATTCTGAGAGGATGTGGCTGAACCGTTTTATACCTTTTTCTTTAGAGCGTAAATCAAAATATTCCTTCCATAATTTGTAGCATTGTTTTTTGATTAACCAAATGCAATCTGTATAATAAGGTAGTACATTATATTCAATTCCATCAGTAATAGCTTGTTTAGCCAAGACGTCTACCCTTTCATTATATTCAACGTCACAGTGTGACGTAATCCACTGTAACTTTATAGATTTAGAATTGGAGGCCAGATTTAAAATACATTCAAGGACTGAGTAGGCTATCGGAGTACCTCGTAGGCCCAAGGTGCACCGAGCCAAGTGTTGAAGTGTGCTTTTAGAGTCTGTGAATATCACTATATTGGCTTGTGGTAACGATATTGCATAAGACAAAGCCTCCCAGATTGCTATAAGTTCCGCCTCCATAATGCATAATATTATGTCACTGTCTATTTTTAATTGTACACTAATGTTGCATTGTGGGTCATAAAATGCTGAACCAATTCCACTCCTATCCTTAGATCCATCAGTAAAGAGTTTATAATAATTTTTATATCGCTGGTTGATAAAATCCAAGCATAATAACTTTAAATTAAAATTACAGTAGCTTCGCTTTTTTTAACAAGAATCGGGATATTACAATGAAATTCATCATCCAAATCTATGTTGGTAACCCAGGTATTCATAGAAAACATTTCTAGTTGTTGGCTGGAATGAATATAAACATTAGAAAGACAATCAAACATAGTTAACAATAGTGGCTTCTTTTTATTCCGCCAATATCTCTTGTCCTTGTACGTCAATAATTCTCGTAATATTTTAATTGTAATATTGTTTTCGGTCACGCTAGCTTTTTATATAAATTTACCTCCTAAATAAGTTCTCCGCACATGCAACGAAGGGAGATCAAGTTCGCTCTCCATTGCATGTATAGGAGTTGTTTTAATAAAACCTCCCATTACTCTGAGCGCTTGATTTTGCACTTTATCTAGCTTACTTACATACTTTTGACAGCTGTTGTCGTATAAAAAACTTCCGTAATCAAGTCTACTCCTTATAATAGTAACATATAACCTTTTCAAATGTTTAGGGTGTATTCCCCACCCTGTCCCAACAAGAACTTTAAAAATATTTAAGTATCTAGAAGTTTTATCAGGTAACTCAGTAATGTGTTTATTCCGTTTTAAAGAGCGCACAACCACATCCCCAAATACTTTACAGCACTGACTACCTCTATTACATTATTATTAATATTTAGCTATATCTGTTGTCTGTTGATGCCTTTCTTGAAGACACATACCTTTGTTTTGGTTGTTGAAATGTCCTAACCCAGATCAATAAGTATGTTGCTTATTTTATTCAATGCTATTTGCAGTTCTTCGGATGCATCGTTGACATTTTTACTAGTTAAATATAAAGCGTAATCATCAGCATATTGAGAAATCATAACATTACAAACTTGTTTACAAATATGGAGAGCTGCAATATTAAATAATATAGGTGAGAATCTCCTTGGGCCAGGCCACGAGCTGTAGATCTACAAATTGTTTTTTACCAACTTTTATGCTTAGCTGTCTTTCCTTTAAAAATGTCCATAAGTATTTGCAGATTTTTGCACCAGCGCCTAAGCAATCTAAATTTAAAAGTAAGGCTCTAATATCCACGTTGTTATAAGCATTTTCAATGTCAATGAAGCATCCTACCGTTAATTGATCTTTCGAAAATCCCAGCTGAATTCTAGAAACTAAATTGCTAAGGTTATCAAGACAGACTTGGTTTTTCTAAACCCGGTGGTCTCTTCGTGAAAGAGGTTTCTTTTCTCAACTAACCACTCTAATCTATTCTTCAACATAGAGTGTAATATTTTACATAAACACGACATGAGAGAGATTGGTCTTAAAGCTGCTATTGAAGATGGATCCCGACCTGGTTTAGGTATTGGTATTACAAGAATTTCACGCCATTGCGAGGGAACAAAACTGAGAGTGTAAAATAAATTGTAAAGATTAAGTAAAATATTTGCAGCGTTATCCGGTAAATATTTAATAATTGAGTACGAAATATTGTCGCCTCCGGGTGAAGTATCTTTTGCTTTAACGCATGTTTTTAGTTCACATAATGAAAATGGAGCCTCAAGTTTTATATTACAAGACGAAAAAATGGGGTACTTTGGACAGACAAAATCTGGTGTTAAATTATGTAAAAGCTTATTAGCCGTTACTTCGTGAATAAAAGTATTAGATGATCTATAACCCTTTAACCACTTCATCTTGCGCCACATTTCTGTTACAGAAGTAGCCTCATCAATTGAAGAACAAAAATTAGAGAATGATTTATTTTTAGCCTGTCGTAGTAATAATTGTGAAATTCTGATTTTATCTTTCAATTTGTTCAAATTACCAGGGGTGGGATTCTTTCGAAACAAAGTAAGTGCTAGCCGTCTTTTTGCAACAGTTTTCGATAGCTTAGGATTCCAATAGTATTTGGGAGTAAAATGTTGAGAGGGATCTTGGCTAAATCTATACAAAGGAATGTGAACATCAGCGGCTTCGTTAATTATGCTAAGGAACAAATCGTAACTTGTTTCCGGGTCATCAACAAGCAGGTTATAATTTGAGAGATTATCTTTAATATACTTACGATAACCATCCCAGTTAGCATTTTTAAAGTTTCTCTTCTGAATAAATGGCGAGTTATTGTTACTATGAGAAATATAAATCTTAATAATTAAGTGGTCACTACCTAATGTCTCATTAGTTACCTTCCAGTTCAAGTGCAAGGCTATGTACGAAGATGCAATAGAAATATCAGGGGAAGATTCCTGCAAATTCCCGTTGACAAATTTAACACGCGTAGCTCGACTATCATTCAATGAAACAAAATTATTTTCTAATAAAGAATCAAAAATATTGCTACCTCTCAAATCAGTCTTACAAGACCAGCTGGAATGGTGGCCGTTAAAGTCACCCAGTACAAGTGTTTTACTCGTCTTAAACGAAAATATTTCTTCCCAGGCACTTTGAGAAGTTCGTATAGCTAGTGGGCAGTAGATAGAAAATATGTAATCAATATATTTACAGTTGAAAACTTTTACACAAATTACTTCAATACTAGGATTTGAAAAATGAACAGGGATTAATTGCGCCTTAACGTATTTGTGGACAATAATAGCTACACCCCCATACGAGTCTTCTCGATCGTGACGGAAAACATTATAACCACTTATTCTAAAAGTAACCTCTATTTAACCATGTTTCGCATTAGCAGCTATATGAATTTTTTCACTATTTAATAACTACTCAAATTCTACATATTTAGGCTTAACACTTTGTGAATTCCACTGGAGAACGTTTATTTGGGAGCTTATACTCATAACTTACCGAGTATATTTTTAAAAGGAATGTCCCAGATGTATTCCCCCACTATCTATACCGACCATTCAATGTATAGTGAGACTCCTTGAATTATTCTACTCTTTAAATCTTTTTGTGAGTTGATTAATGCATATAATTTTGCAAGCAATTGCTTCAATTTTAAACTAGATCTGAATTTCTCTTTTCTCTCATTTCTCAGCCGAATTTCATTTTCCGACTCATCGACACTAATCATTGTTTCTGATTCCGAAGATACATCCCAGTTATACACTTTATTTTGACTTTGTTTCTTTCTCTTATTCTTTTTCTTCTTGGGTCTCTGTTCTAATGATTGAGAAACATTCGTTGAGCCCGGTTGCTTAGGTTGTGATTGCCGATTGATACCATCACATCGCGGCGCTCGGGTCACGCTTGCATAGGAAATAACGTTTATGTCTTGTGACTGATTGGGTACTTGTTCAAGTACAGACTCGGAAAACACACTAAGGCGTGCCGGTGAAGTTGAATTAAATTGTTCTGCGCGCAGTGTAGGGACGGGTTCTGGTGGAACATATACTTGCAACGCCTTCCTATAAGAGCAGTTAAACTCTGCCATCAATTCACGAATTCGTTTCTCTTTTTTAAACGCAGGACACGATCTATCCAGGCATAAATGCTTTCCTGTACATTTCACACATTTATATGAGGTAGTCTCACAGTTAGCGTGACCCTTGCCACACTAGGTCACACAACCTTATTGTTTGGACAAACACTCAAGGAGTGCCCTAATCGCCAGCACCTGGAACACTGGGTAACTGGGAACACGTACGGGTCGACATTTATCTTCATGCCGTAGATGTAGACACACGTTTTTAGTGAGGGACCCTTGAACCCCAGACGTATTGACTCACTTTCTTCCCAGCCGCTACCGTCCTTATTCCTGCGTTTTAAACGTTTTACCGCTATCAGTTCACAATTGAAATAACTTCTAACATGTCTTTTTCACTCAAGTCCAATTCTACATTCTTAATAACGCCGTAAGATATAACAACTTCGAGTGGTTTTTGGCATCTCCAACCTAAATCTTGCAAAGGTTTGCAATTGATCAATACCTCAGCATTCTGCATTTTCAAACTGTATGAACACTTTATAGGGGTTTATATATTTTACCCGGCTAACACTACTAATGTTATTTGACCTTAATAATTTAGCAAGCGCATCAACCTTCTGTCCCACTCTCTTTCCATTTCTTCCTACCGCTCTCCACTCTTCTTGCTCATCCTCCTCCCGCGGTCTCTTATTACGACTAACTCTAGAACTAGAGTCCTCAAGCATTTCTTCCTCCCGCTGTGTAGTATTCTTCTCCATTAAACAAATCTCCGACTCCTCAACATTACTTATCCCGGGTAGAATATTATTAAGCTCATTGTCTTCTTGAATTATATCTTCCTCCGTGTTAAATAAGGTACACTATCGTATGCACCTATTCACCATTGCACGATGTGTGTAGGTATGTACACAATAGCGCGAAATATTTCCGGAGGTAAGACTGCTCAGCGAGTAAAAACAACGCGACTATAGCGGACAAGTGCCCACAGCGAACTTAAATTGACTGACCGTAATTTGGACTGCAGGACCAAATCACGGCCAGAACATTATTGTATTACATTTTTTGCAACTACAACTGCTAATTTCAAACCCCAATGTTACAGTAACACAAGTGGTTAAAATTAAAAAATTTGTACAACCTAAATAGATTTATTTTTTTATTTGAAAGCTGGTGCTTCTCATTTGGTCCCATATAAATTTGGTCAATATCTGACCAGTAGTTTTTGAGTCATCCTTAATAATGCGTATTTAATTGACTTTTACTACATTGATGATGTTATCATTTTACTTATATTGAAGTCTGTTGTAAAAAAAAATTAATTACCACTTGTCTGCTTACCTATTTCTGCTTACAAATAACAGTGTTCTGTTACGAAGGGTATAGAGAGCCAGTATAAGCACAGGCTGTGAGGCATCCCATCTTAGTCCTCAGAGGTGACAATGCAACTGTAACCTTAGTTCAAAGTTGGCTGCAGGTGTTCATAGACAGCGGTAGCCTCTTACTATCAGTTGGACTGTACATTAGTTGGTCACAACCGTTTTTTTTTTAAAAAATCCTTAAAAATTTGTCCTAATCTCTTCACTGCATATGGCAATATGATATTAACATTTCGAATGTTCTCGCAGTATGCAATGACGAAGTCATCGCCGTCGGCGCTGCGTGAGACTGTCGTGGAGGTGCCGAACGTGTCGTGGTCGGACATCGGTGGGCTGCAGAACGTGAAGCGCGAACTGCAGGAGCTGGTGCAGTACCCCGTGGAACACCCCGACAAGTTCCTCAAGTTCGGCATGCAGCCCTCTCGCGGAGTGCTTTTCTACGGACCGCCTGGATGTGGTGAGTAATATATATATATAATAAATTTTATCCCTTTTATGCCAGTGCTACCTAAACGTGTGCCAATAAAGAATATAAATGGCGGCCGAGCTCGTCCCATCTCTGTTGCAGTTTCTACAGTAGGAAGAAATGGTTTGAGAATTTAATAAATTTGACATTAATCAGTTTTTGAACTTCCCAGTCACAATTTATTCTCGGATTGTATTTTTTTTAAATTTTACAATTTGTTATTTGGTTTAAATGTTGTTGTTGTTAGTTGTACTAACAACTTCTTTTTAGAAGTTATTTATATTTACTAGCTTAACCTTATTTAAACACTAAAACAAGCTCAAATTACTCTCGATACATTGATATAATTTTTTGATCCAAACTAATTTTTTATTATTGTAATAAATGTTGTATATTATTAAAATGTTATGTTGTAAAAATAGTATAGTTTAAAAAAGTTTCCAGAGAACATATCTGTAACTGTTTCTATGTATTTAGAATTGGTAGGATTTTTACCATATTTTTGAGATTTTAAAAACATGAATTACACATTGGCAAACACTAAAACACAAATCAATTATTTGTAGACGATACAAATACTTGTTCCACATGGGAATCAAACATGCAGGAAAAATATACAATTTTTGATTTTTGTTTTTTATTCAGGTAAAACATTGCTGGCCAAAGCCATTGCCAATGAGTGCCAAGCCAACTTTATATCTGTGAAGGGACCAGAGCTGCTCACAATGTGGTTTGGTGAATCTGAAGCTAATGTGCGAGACATCTTTGACAAGGTAAAATTAATAGTTTAATTTTTTAATTTTATTAAAACTTATTTGTTGACACTTTTTTCTATAGTAAATAAGATTTGTGAGTCATATATAATTAATTTACATTATGAATAATATTGTTTAGTTTGTTTTGAGAGATCAATCTTCAATACTAAAAAAACAAGCTCGAAAAAATGTATGAACAGACTTTTGAGAGTTTATATAAAAAACTGCTAAATGTATCATTTTAAAATTAACTTATTTGAACATTTGGATAAATAAAGTACATCTGCCTGATGTAAAATATTTTATATTTCATGTTTTTCATGCTATTAATTACACTTAAAGTTGATTTAAAATTGGTTAAAATATGGATGTTTTTTTTACTTTTCTACATATTTACTCACATAAGCCTAGATAACCAGAAGTCAATAGAAACAGAAACTTGTTTATTCAATATAGATTATAAATAATACTTATTGGAAATCATTCTTTTGTTTAATTTACCATTGGTTCAGAAAAAATAAACTCTGTCCTGGGAAGAACGAGTAAGAAACTCAGTGGGACAAAATATCACTCTTAGTTTTGCATGTACATGATCAATTGGTGATATTCAACAACCTATGTTAGTACTGAATAATTATAGACTAGCGCAACCTTAAACGATAAACTTATATCAATGGAAGACTTAAATATATATATGTGCCTTTCGGTCACAACCTTCCTTCTGAAACAATACTCAATTTTTTTTCCTTTAGAATTACATATATAATCAATGATCTTGTTAGTCTGATAAGTTTTTACAGAATTATCTCTTAGTTTACTTTGCAACTGGCTATTTACTGCAACTCCACATACTAAACGTACATGGGTAAGAATAATGTAGTTATTCAAGCCATGATAGCTTCTCACAATTGTTCGGTAAACCGTTAAAGTTACGATCTCGCGGAGCGACGTCGACACGCCGCTATATTTAGTCCAGTAAGTGGCCGACATCCGGATATACCAAAAGCTTGTGAGCCGTTGTTTCTTCCCTCATGCAAACCCTAGGGACAAACGACTGTCCAATATTGTTAATCTATTCTATACAACAATTGTGATGCCAGTGCTGAGACTACTAGATCCATCAATCTCTCCGCCAGGCCCGTTCAGCATCACCATGCGTATTGTTCTTTGATGAGTTGGATTCCATCGCCAAGTCTCGAGGAGGGTCGGTGTCCGACGCCGGCGGAGCTGCCGACAGAGTCATCAACCAGATTCTCACTGAGATGGACGGCATGGGAGCTAAAAAGAATGTCTTCATCATTGGTAAGTTGGAACATTCTTATACACTATGATTTCTTCCTTATCAGCCCGTAACTGTCGACTGCTGACATGGTTCTCTCCTATTTTAGGGAACATTTACTATAATTCACAATGCTGCAGCTATTTATATGTAGTATAACAATTCTGCAGCTTCATAGACCACGCTTTCAAAAAATGTCAGTGTATAATTAGTGTAGAGAATCCTTATTATATAACAGATTGATAAATGTAATTCTAAATATGTCATCTTTTAGCTTTTTCTGGCTATTTTTATGTGGTATTTGGAGATTGTTACACTGCCAACTAATTAAGACCATGAGCACAGAATAAATAATAGTACTAACGTACAGAAGTTGCACTCTTTTGATGTTGACTGCTTGCCGACGTTTTAATAGCCTACATAGTTATTATTAATCAGATAAATCGCGCACGCAAGCTAAATAAAACTATCGCTGCGCGTGATTGTCCGTATCACTTTGCATCTTTTCTCCTTACTACGTCACAACGGACTTTCCGTGGTTGCTAAGGGCTGTTAATAAAAAGTAAAAAAAATATATTGTGAAATGTTAAGTTACTTAGGTAAAGTACCTATGCTGACTATAATCGACCATATTATCTAGTATGTGAGTTCTGTCATGCCCAACGCACGCAACTTGCAAGGCCAGCTTAAAGAACAAATAAACCCGAAATAGGTAGCTACGATTCCAAACAGAAATATGATCGTAATCTACTAAGTTGAAAATCTTGTAAACAAAGTTTTAATTTCAGTATTATGTGCTATTATAATTTAAAATATTTTAATTACAAAGACGAGTATAGGTATGTAAGTGGTTATTGGGTAGTGAAGTAAATTTCAACTAAGTTTCGTAATATTACTTCTGTAGTTAAATTATTACTTAATTATTTTACGCTATAAGTACCTATCTAACAAAAAATGAAATAAATTTACCTTTCATTATCCTTCGGTAACTCAAAAAATATATCTGAATCCTTTTAATTGCTCATTAAGCATCCATACCCGCAACAATTATAGTAGGAACGACGTTTTGCCATTATAATTTATCAAATGGATAGGTAATATACATATATATTATTCTTAAATTATATTAAAACTTTTTCAACTATTTTATCCTACAATTAAATATACTAAACACTAAACAAAAACTATTTCGACGAGTATTTCAACAACAACAACAAAAAATTATTTACGTAAACAGCGTTAAAAAACAAAACTTTAACATTCAATCGTAAATAGAGCGCGCTAGCCCCGACTGCGATCTACCCCTGGGCAGCTCGCGATTGTAGGTAATTATTTCACGCAGGTAGCAAGAGTGACAGAGACCTACCATGAGATCTATCTGGTTTTTTCCATAAACGTCGCTTAGAACACCTACAAGATATATATAGTAACTAAAATATGGTGGGCGCGCAGTAGGCCTTGTTATATTATTATCGAGTGTACTATGCACCGGACTAAGTTTGTCATATCAATATAAGATAAAATATCCAGAAATTGGTTGCGAGCAATGCAACCTTTTATTATAAATGATAAGTTTAAATAAATTTATATAAACATACCTAAAATCAGTACCTAACTATTTTGTTTATCAATTGACTTCAAAAAGAAGGAGGTACTCAATTCGACTGTATGTTTTTTTATGTGTTACCCCATAACTTTCTAGGTGAACTGATTTCGATGATTCTTTTTTTATTTGAAAGCTGGTGCTTCTCATGTAGTTCCTTATAAATTTGATCAAGGTATGAGCAGTAGTTTTTGAGTTATCCTTAATAATTTATATTGAAGTTGGTTGTACAAATTTTTTAATTTTATCACTTGTTTAATAACTTTTACTTAGACTGTAACTTAACGTATTGTTCTAATTAATGTATGTCCTCATTTTGAGGTCATTACAGTTCAAATCTACCATATCAAATGGACTGTTTTAAAATGATATCTGTGTGTCTGTGCCATCCATCCATTACAGCCTAGCCTTATCTCTTACCATAGTCTATTTTACCATAGTCATTACGTTTGGCAGGCGGGTTGGTAAGTGCAGTTTTCTTTATAATTTTGAGTTGTTATCAAGAAAATACCTTTGCCCATCTGCTGTTTCACTTACCCTTCTTTCTCTCACACTTCTTACGACACCCACAGGACAATATTATGGGATAGTGGTGTATATACTTACACCGCCACTACATGGTTTGTGTAAATGTGTATACTTTCATACATTATATCAATGTTTTAACTCATATCTCAAGGACAATTGATACTTTCTACGCCAATGTAAATTTATTCGGCGCGTACCGCCTTTTCAATTTGTGATGGCGAAATGGGCAAGTACCGGGAGACAGGTGCGAAGCCGTAATCGTGCCATTGTATAAGGGAAAAGGGTCACGGCAGGACTGCATAAATTACCGCGGTATAAGCCTTCTCAGCGTCGTCGGTAAATTGTATGCGAAAGTGTTGATTGAAAGGGTTGTGAATGAAACAGACGAAAAAGTATGGGATGCACAAACGGGATTTAGAAAAGGAATGGGATGTACGGATCAGGTCTTTTCCTTGCGGTGCATAGCCGAAAAGTGTTTGGCTAAAAACAAGAAGGTCTATTGCGCGTTCGTGGATCTAGAAAAGGCCAACGTTGTGGTCTGAAACAAGATGAGAGAAGTGACAAAAATTGAGAAAGGTATGCTGAGATGGTTTTGCCATGTCGAGAGAATGAATGAAGAACTATTGACAAAAAAAGTGTATAAGGCGAGTGTGAATGAAAGTGTTGGAAGGGGTAGACCTCGGCGGACGTTTTTCAAATCGTTAATAAAATCTCTTTCATAGTTTTCTTTAAATTCAACAATTAGCCATCATTGTATGGAAAGTTGATAGTGATTTTTCGTCTAACAATTTCTTTCTATAATTTTAAAAATGTTACCCCCACAAAGGATTTTCTCCTGTAACGTGGTGGCAGTTTAAATACAGGGCAAACATCCAGACCTAGAACAATTGTTTGTAGGCCTTACAAATACTTGGTCTTGGTGTATGTCTTAGTCGGGATTCGTACCCGCGACTCTCAGCGCTGTCAACTCATTGGCTCAGCAATACTGCGCCGTCAAAAATTAAATTTTGACTAAAATCTATTTCTATTCAAGATTATTTTTACACATGCAACAAGTTCTCTAAATTGAGAGTACTCTGAAAGAAAAACTGGAACCAGCACAAGAGTTAAGGAAGCTAGTGTGCTTGAGCAGCCATTTTGTTGTGTAATTTTGTCAAATGATCATAAACTTTACCGTCACGATAACTTACTTTTTGAACAGGCTCTTCTATAATAATCAAGTCGTTTTGTACAGGCGCCACGAACCGACCGGACATCATCGACCCGGCCATCCTGCGTCCGGGACGTCTGGACCAGCTCATCTACATCCCGCTGCCCGACGAGAAGTCGCGCGAGGCTATCCTCCGCTCCAACTTGCGCAAATCGCCCATCGCCAAGGACGTTGATCTGTCGTACATCGCTAAGGTAATTATTGATACGTGTTCTGTGTCCATCAGATAAATAAACAATCTTTAGAGCCAAAACTGATATATACAATTGTAACAGCAATTTACTTACTGCTTTTTTAATGCATCTTTTTCAGATTTATGATTTAACCCATTCACTGTCCTGTCCCATGCACTTCATATAGTTCATTGCTATTTCATTGCTATTGTCTTACTAATATGTCTGAAAATTGGACAGTGAAAGTGTCAATATAAAATATTTGTTTTTGTACTATTTAATTACTGCCTGTAATTGACATTACGTGTATCTGTTTAAGAAACAATCAAAGCAGCTATAATTTTACTATTGAATTTTCCTGCCTTTAATGTACTGTTAAAGATAAAATCTAACATGGTAAATACTAAATATGTATATATACTTGTATAAAGAATACCAAAGTAGATTAGATCTGCTCGCAACCTCGATGGCTGCCATCAAAAAAGTAGTTACCGGAGATTAAAACTATGTATTAACAGAAGTTTCTTCATTATTAATTTAAATTTATATTTTATTACAGTTAAATTGTACTTATGTACTGTTGTAAAACGTAGTTTTTTTTATGCATGTGTTGCCCTCCCGTAACTAATGGGACACAAGTATAGTGATACACATTTGAAAAGTAAAAATATATTGCTGAGTTTCCTTCGTCGTGTTTTGTTCGGACAGAGGTAGCTTATTTTGGAACGATAGTAGGTAAAAAAAACGTGATGTTTGACAAAAAAGGTTGTAATTTCTTCGTCGAAAAATAAATAATTTTCATTTTATCATTTCCAGTTCGATCCACTAGATTTTAGGACGTCTTTTTTGTATAGGATCTGGCTGGTTAGATATAACCTAATAATAATTTGTGTTACTTGTACTTAAAATTTTGTTTTTAATTACAAACTAACATATTCTATTTTAGCTTTTAATGATGTCATGAATGTCAATCATTTGCAGTAGCTAACTAAATTGTTAGCTTGTTTGTCATATATTTGGAGAAAAATAATAATATTAATATTGGACTATCAAAGTTTACTGCTGAACATAGACTACCTCATAAGAGGTATATTTGCTGTATTTATTTGCAGGTTGGCAATTAATTTTTTATCACTGTTGTCTTTTACGACACCCATGGGATGATATGCGGTAGTGCATATTCTTATCTTCTAAATGACGGGCACAATTATGTAATTTGATCTTAATTAAGTTTTTACCAAAAACTGTCCAGTATTTTTTTGTAATTAATAAATTAACTGACGACGTTTACGTTAAGAGTCACGCTACAGCTATATTATGGTTATAGCACGAATGGGTCGGCTCCATCGGGGAAGGATCATGGTCTCACAGAACACCAGCATAAAGCAGCAGCTTCATGCAGTTGTGTTTCGTATATCCTCAGGGGTGACAACGTATGTGCATTTTAATTGTCAATCGAGGAATTATGTAGATATCTATGGGTCACAGCATCCATTTACCATCATGTGGACTAAGGGCTCGGTTGTCTCCCAAACTAACCGTATTGCACAATCGATAATCGGTAGTGTTTAGTGATGCGGGCTCTGAGTATAGTGAGCGCAATTTATATTGTTGGCATGTGGTGGTTTGTGGTGCAGGTGACGCAAGGGTTCAGCGGCGCGGACCTGACGGAGATCTGCCAGCGCGCGTGCAAGCTGGCCATCCGGCAGGCCATCGAGGCCGAGATCACGCGCGAGCGCACGCGCCAGCAGCAGACGCCCGCCGCCGTCATGGACGTCAGTACCGCACGCGCATTATTATTAGAGTATTATATTCAAACAAAAATTACTCCATCATTTTACCGATGATTCTCTGTCAGTGTCAAGGTAGAGAAATACAAGAGGATATAAAAAAGTAAACAAGGACAACTGTTGAAGTGTATTTTCTACTAGTTTTATAGACAATTTTGTGCTTAACCCAACAAGTTGAGATACAATACCGCACTTCCTTACACACGCTCAGTTTTGCGTTACTCATAAATCTCTATGTACAGGGTTATTTTTCATAGAGTAGCCAAATTTTAAACTTAAGTTTAAATGTATATATAATGATATACCGTTTTTGCAGTTTTTGAAAATACGAGTAAATAAGGTTTCTATTTTTATTTATATTATCCTTAATTGAATGTGATTTATATGCAACAACGTTTTTGCCTACCGATCGACTTTTACGAATGCGTGCGTGTGAAGTAAAATGAGTTAAAATAACGCATTACCACGCAATTTATATTTAAAAGATAAGGACAGAATGTTTGAGATTTTATTAATAAAACTTGACCAGTTATTGCAAAATAACCCTGTCCCGCTAAAACTCGAAAACGGCACGACCGATTTTGATGAAATATTTTGTGTATGTTTGAGTAGGTCTCTGGATGGTTTAATTTCACTATTGGACCCGGTAGATGGCGCTGTTGTCGAGATACAAAAATCACTCGTGCGAAGCTGAGCCGGATCGCTAGTAATATTATATAAATAATAACTCATAGTCATAAACTGACTTTGTTGTTTTTCATGATATGGTATCGACTGCCAGAATTATTTCGAGTGATTCACATTTCACAATACCCTTTCGTTTGATTATTATCTACGCAATAACTTAAATCACCAAAAAAAACTAAGAAAATATCTTACTAAACGCTACATCTGGCGGCCGGCTCAGTTTCAAAATGTCGGATCTCACTCTGAACACGCAATGAAGGCAAATAATATCGTTTTTATTAAAAGTTTTTCGTTTTCTAATGTATGTATGTATACACACAAAACAATCTTTCAGTTTTTAATTAAAGTATTCTTTTTTTTTACACATTTTTAACTTTTTTTAATTCTTATACTTTTAGGAATATCCTTAGTTCAGTTTAGCCATTTCTAATCCCCTGCTATGAATTCTGTCAAATATTTTACCTCATTCCTAAGTGAAGCCGCCTTGATGACAGAAAATGTCCTGGATTGCCTTAATAATAATAAGCCTTTGCTTCCACTTTTTAGTAACTACAACTCAATCTTCTGCCCGTAATCTCGACTTGAGTTTAGATGGGGAACCAAAATGTATTAATCACGTGAATAATAAAATCAGAGCGGCATTTTTCAAGCTGAAAACGCTCTAAAAAATCGGACCTTATCTTAAGGAGCATTTACGGATACTTTTATGTGATACTCTGGTGCTATCTCAATTCAAGTACTGCAGTTCTACCTTTGGTCCAAGACTAAATTTCAACACAAAGAGAGCAATACAAAGAGTGCAAAAGCCCTGTGTTCGTTTTTGCTTTAATGTGCCCAAGAGAAACCATTACTCCGTACCTGAAAAAAAAGGCCCAACATAAGTGCTAGAAGGCAGCTTCAGTACGCTTGTACATGCATAGGGTAATATGGAGGAAAAAGCCTTCGTACGAACTCATTAAGCTTGTTGATTATGCCAAACATGAAATAACGCGGCACGAAGGATGTTTTAAATTTACTGCAGCAAGAATATGGAATGATTTGCTCCCTCCTCTAAGAAATAAAATGAGTTCGGCAAGCTTCAAAGCCAAATATAAATCAGCATTGCTGAAGCAGCAAATTGCTGCAGAAAATGTCTACTGGAAATACATAAACTTGAGACTTTTTAACATTTTATTGTAATATTACCCTTTAAAAAACATTCCCATGTATAAACTGAACAATGACACGGAACAATACACACACACACGCGCATACACACATAGGCACGCACGCACACGCACATACGCACGCACGCATACATGCACACCTATGCACGCACGCGCACACGCACTCACACATGAACGCACGCTAGAATGCAAGAATAATTATTATAAAAGTTCACAACCATTTGTAAAATTCTAATATTAGATGAGTGAATGATAAGATGTGAATGGGGAACTCTCAATTCTCACGACACCTATGTAACATCTCAGGGAGGAAGCAGTGCCTGAAAACCAGTGCTTCATTGGATCTTAATCCCATGTAAGCATAAGCTGAGCACCTCTGATTGTCTAAGTTTAATTAAGATGAAGTACTTAGTTTATAATATGTACATATGTTTTTTTTTTTAATTTGGCAATAAAATTATATTTAGTTATTTAATATTTAATCTTTGCATATTTTTATTTATTTATTTTATTCTTTATTGCATTTCTTAAAACATAAGAATACAAAGGGCGGTTATTAATGCTTTGTTGTATATATTTTCTGGATATCTTTTACGGACTTCAAAAATCAAAAAAGGATAGCTTGTATTCTTTACTAAAAAAAATACGAACCACCACATGTGTATGTGAATGGCGGCAACCTCCTACCTGTACGGTGTAGTGTAGGGCAACCCCGTACTAGATGGAGTGACGACCTGGTAAAAGGAAGTCGATGTTTGCTGGTGGTTCAGGATCGTTCTATGCAGCATTTTTTGAGGGAGGTCTCTGTTTTGCAGTAGACCTAAAGGGCTGTAGTAACAATGATTATGCCTGTGTCAGATGGACGAGGAGGACCCGGTGCCGGAGATTAGCCGCGCGCACTTCGAGGAGGCGATGAAGTTCGCGCGGCGCTCGGTGTCCGACAACGACATCCGCAAGTACGAGATGTTCGCGCAGACGCTGCAGCAGAGCCGCGGCTTCGGCACCAACTTCAGGTATCATCCACCTCTATACAATTATATGTTCCATTGTTTGTTCTTTTATGGGCGTTTCCGAACATTACATGTCTAGAAATATTTTTCATTTCTTAGACATGCAGGTTTCCTCACATTTTTGAAGTTTCACCACTGAAGAATCACCACTGAACATGATAAATTAGTACTCAAAATTGCAATGAACAATTTCATAGTTGCCAAAGAGGATCGAACCTGGTTTGAACGCGTACTGTGAAATTCACGGTAAGCACATACTATAATACCATATTATTTATTTATTTATTATATTACTATATATATTCTCCAGCTTCATTATTGTGATTTGGATAAACCAGTGTTTATGAAAATCACAAAAATGAAACTACCGGTTTCACAAAACTACTAACTGTAAAAACCGACCGGTTTCGCTTCACGGCAAGATCAGGGTATACATGTAATAATAACGAATATACGCAAATATAGCAAAAAAATGTTTGCAATCATTGATTGCAAACATTTTTTTTTTATTTAAGAGTGTGCAAACGAGCATTCGGCTCACCTGATGGTAAGTGACTACTGCCGCTTTCAACAAATGCAACACCAGGAAAATCGCAGATGCGTTCCCAGCCTTTTAAAAAAGTGTAGGCTCTTGAAGATCGCTAAGTCGTATTAGTCCGGGAAAATCGCTTGTTTAAAAAACTTGCAATTATTGACACAAGTAAAAAAAAAATAGTAAAATGATATTTGGTTGCAGATTCCCCACGAGCGGCGGCGCGGCGGGCGGCACGGGCACGTCGGGCGGCGACCAGCCCACGTTCCAGGAGGAGGGCGGCGACGACGACCTCTACAGCTAAGCTGCACCGCATTCCGTCGCAACACTCTCCCACACAAGTATTGCGCTGTGAATCTACACCTACTCAGTGGACTGTTTGCTTTGTAATTGTTAATGGGCTGAGATCACGGTCTAAGCGACGACATCGGCGTCCTGCACTAGGATTATAACTACTTAAGAATTATCGGTTCAGTGATATGTAATGCGGCGGGTATCTGGGCTTTCGAATTACAAAATTCGTTGGTACTCAACACCAGTAGTGGTATTGCCAGTATACGGGCATTTTACCAAAATTATACACAAATTACTTTGTTACAATTATTCAATAATGAATAGTAATGTTTATTATATAGAAAAACATTGTCAGATTTATAATTTGACAAATTTAGGATCGAAAGCCCCTATGGTGTTTAACAGCGAGCAGCGTACTCAGAACTTCTACCGACGTGTCGGTCTAACTACGCGTCGTTTAATTAATTGATATATATAAATGTATTTATTGAATTTAATCATTTTTTTTGTTCCAATTCGCTTACGTTTAGTTGTATTGAATTGATTGTGATGGCAACACTTGCGAGCGTGAAGCAACTGTATTTGAATAATTGTTACCTGTGTCTCAGATCATAAGTAGGTTACGTTGGCGCGCCGACGTTATATTGTATCGCAGTGATTTTTAAATAAAAAGATTTTTATAGTCTAGATGTTGATTTTATTTGTACACTTTATCGTAATCGACATTTCAGAAATCCACTGCAGAACACAGGACTTTCCTATCTATAACTTAGGGAATAGGAAAATATTTACTATATTTGCCGTGCTTGGCAGGTGTTTTGTGTGGTGAAAACCGCTTTTTATTATTATTTGTGCTTTAATCAGGACGACGCAGCTACCCATATCTTGTTACAGATTCCTCTGTCGCCTCTTACAACACCCGCGGGATGGTATGAGGTGTAGCTGTTTCTTTGTACGCCACCACGACACGGTATCAACATGTGTCAAATTGTATTGTATTCTTAATCAATAAAATATATACCTCACACAATCATACAATTTGCAATACATAATAAAATATTTTGTTGTATTGGATACTGATTCAATAGAAGTTGATGAAATTATAACTAGTCTCAAGTCCAACAGTGCTCCTGGCTGGGACAATATTTCTAGTCAATTTGTCAAACTAGTTAGAGCATACGTAGTTCCCGTAATTAGCCATTTAGCCAATCTTTGCTTCCATAAAGGCGTTTTTCCATCTCTTCTCAAAAAATCTATAGTTACGCCGGTGTATATGGATGGGAATAAAGATTATAATAAACTACTTAAAGAAATATAACATTCTTTCGGTAACTCAGTCCGGATTTAGACGTGCAAAATAAACAGAGGATGCAGTCTTAACTCTAACCTCCTTTATCATTAAGGAAATGACCAAGGTCAAAAATGTCTCACTGTTTTTATTGACCTCAGAAAGTTATTTGATACTGTTTATTTTCCCATCTTCGTACGTAAACTCGAAGCAATTAGCGTGAGAGGGGTCCAGTTAAAATTATTTGAAGAACTTGCGAAATCGGAAGAAACAAGTGAAAATTGTGGACCATATAAGTGAAGAAGCTAAAGTTTTTTACGGTGTTCCTCAGGGGAGTGTACTGGGCCCCACCCTGTTTCTCATTTACATAAATGCTCCCACCAAGATGAACTTAGAAAACGATCAACAATAGAATACAATCTGCTAGCAACATTGCTCTAAGAATTCATCGGTGTGGTTACAAAGATACAGCCAACTGTTCATGTGCAGTGCTTGATAGAGTCTAATGTTGTTTTGGAACAAAGTTGGCGTTCTCACATTGACTACACCAATAACAGAGTAAGAAAATTAATATGGATATTTAATAAACTCAAACATGTAGCAACTAAAAAATTAATAACACAAATTTACATCACTATGGCACAATCTATAATAAGCTACTGCATCCCCGTTTGGGGAGGTACAACAAAAACATTTTTTTAGGGTTCCGTAGCCAAATGGCAAAAAACGGAACCCTTATTGATTCGTCATGTCTGTCTGTCTGTCCGTCCGTATGTCACAGCCACTTTTTTCCGAAACTATAAGAATTATGCTGTTGAAACTTGGTAAGTAGATGTATTCTGTGAACCGCATTAAGATTTTCACACAAAAATAGAAAAAAAAACAATAAATTTTGGGGGCTCCCCTTACTTAGAACTGAAACTCAAAACCTGTTTTTCCATCAAACCCATACATGTGGGGTATCTATGAATAGGTCTTCAAAAATTGATATTGAGGTATCTTATATCATTTTTTTCTAAAGTGAATAGTTTGCGCGAGAAACGCTTCCAAAGTGGTAAAATGTGCCCCCCCCCCCCCCGTAACTTCTAAATAAGAAAATGATAAAACTAAAAAAAATATATGATGTACATTACCATGTAAACTTCCACCGAAAATTGGTTTGAACGAGATCTAGTAAGTAGTTTTTTTTAAACGTCAAAAATCGTAAATTATGTTACTTGCTGCTACGGAACCCTTCATGGGCGAGTCCGATTCGCACTTGGCCGCTTTTTATTTGGAAATTGAAAGAAGTCAGCGCAGCCTCCTTAACCTTCCGTGAACCACGTGGATAAAAGTTACATCCTGCACCACGTGGGGTGGGGTTTTCTGGACCCTGATTATTATCGAGGAATAGAATGTGTTGTTTTAAATTGTTTGTTTTTTGTGTGTATAGTGTTTTTGATTTGTTATTGCATAAAAATAAAACAAACTAGTTAAATAGAGTAAACATTTTAATACTCTTATATGGGCGATTCTCTGTAAACTCGTAATGGGCCATACAAACTCTGTCCTGGCATATTTTTTAGCATTTTCGTTAAAAATAAGATGGTATTACTTAGGAAAGTAACTTTTGCTTTTCATATATAAGAGGGCCAATTGAATTCATATGTATTTTTAAAGTTATTTTAGATTTTTTCATAAATCGTGACAGGGGATTGTTAGGTGGCACAGGGGACTGTTTTGTACATGATATGAGACTGTTCGATGAGACAGAGGACTGTTTTATATAGAAGTAAGTCATATTATTAGTATCAATCATTTATTATTTTATACCACATTTACGTATCAACATAAAACAATTATATTTCAAAAGGTTCTTAAGAAAAAACTTAAGCAAAATCATAGCAAACAAAATTCCTCCAACAAAATCAAAACTTTCATGTCAAAACTATGGTTCTAGAAACATTTTGTATTTGAGATCTACTTCGATGAATTACAAACATCAATTATTAAATTCTGTACGCAGTCTTTTCTAAAGTACCATTAATAAAATTATAATACAATAGTCTTTTCTCTCAACAATAATAGTATACTCGTATAAACAATTATAATGAAAGTAATTTGAAATAAGATCTGCAATAAAGTCTTAAGACTTTTTCTTAAAACTAATGAGGCAAATACATAATCAAAATAAGCTTAGTTTAACATTAGAAAAATTGACATTAGCGCTCGAAAACATCTACTTGAGTAGAGAACTTATAAAATATTCTCTTTCCTTTTAGAATGAAGTTAGGATTATCCAACTTTTGGATAACTTGATCAAACGACACGTCTGAAATGTCCCTATCATTTATTTTAAAGGTCTGCATCTTCTTGTCACAAATCTTTAGAAAAGTTACCTGTAAGTCATTTTCATCTTCATCAATTTCATTAACTACAGCGGCATAACGATATTCCACATTTTTAGCTGATAATTTCACAAGAACGTAGTCTCCAGTATTGTAACATGAATTTTGAGTACCACTGGTTCCGGCTATTTCATCATCGAACGTTTTAGGAAGCTTGTTTGGTGTTGATGTTTCAACTGATTCTAAGTTTTGTTCCGATATAGAATCTGTAAACACTTCTTCTTCTGTCAATCTAGATTTTAGGTCAAAGTTGATACTACCTGTCTTATTATGCTCACAAGATCCACTGTTGCAAAAGCAACTGAGACTTTTCATTGTTAGGGTTTTACATTTTTTTTGGCAGGCCGAGGATGAAGCTAGAATAAATACCTGCGAGCTGATGCACATTTAGGGTGCCTTTGAATGACTTCTGACCGGATGCTTCCTTATCAACTTTATCGATCATTGCCTGGATGTCATTACCGTCAATTGGGATACATGTGATGCCAAGGCATCGCTCTTGGATTGATTTGACAAACTGGTCGATATTGTTGATATCACCCCCAGAATTAACAACAAAATCAGCTGTTCTTTTGCACGTTGCCCCAACGCCGTCGGGTGCGCCTTTACCGTGTGCACTTTGTGTAGTTCGACATAAAATTTTCAACCTCTGGAATTTCTTCAGCCAGTTTAGTAGCCATGATAAAACACATTGTTTTATTACGGTACTGCGTAACAGGGCCATCGCTCAAGAAATGTACCCATTTGATGCCACTTGGAAGTCTTGAAAATTGGTTGGAGATGTGCCCAAATGGCAGCACGTGAATGGGCTATGTTCTCGGAGACTGTGCAAAAAGATCGGATTGAATCCCGTTGGTAAACTACGACGGTGTGCAGACTCAGTTGAACTCGAGATCCACCGAAATGCAAAGCCTGTATTTCCTCCGCGTACTTCGTGCAATAGTTTTCACTAAAATCCATGTGAAGCAGGATATCTCGGTCTTGTAGATTTAACTTTAAATCGTTATATTGGTGTACAATATTTCTTTGATGGTCAAAAAATTTTATTAAATCTTCCTGCAAATGTGTTATTAGCTGTCTTGGATGTATGTCAAATGTTTTCTTCAGATATTTTGTTATTATTCGAAAGTTTTTAGTCTTGAAATCTTGGATTTTTTGCCTCTCAGAAATCCACATCTTATATTTAATTACTTTGCTGTTGTCAATCTCTTTATATTTGGGATTTTTATTACTGCAAGTAGAACAGATTCTAGATAAAAATAGTCTTCGTTGTACCGATTGCAACACAAGTCTTCAAGCAGCTTCTGGTAATTGTTGTAGGATATAATTTTGGATTCATATAAAGCGCAAAGTTTCAGGTCTAAGTTGCTGTGCGTTATACATAAACATGTGTCGCGATTTTGAGCGTTTGCTTTGACTACCCAGAACGGGCGCAGTCGGCAGAATGTCTGATAACCTATTTTCAAATTCTCAGCCACAAATTTTTTATATAGATTAAGAACTGTATCAAGAAGGTATCTTTTTTGTTTTTTCACATTCTTCCTAGTAATAAATTCCTTTTTACCACCTGCCATACGACTGTTATTATCATCTTCAAAGAAATTCTGAATTGCTCGTTGTAACTATTAGGTATTTTAATCCGGTGACTTACAGGTACATCCAAGCCATTGGGATTTTTTTTTTTTTGTTTTTTATATAAAATTTCGCATTTTCTTTAGGTATCCAATGCCTATACTTTTGAACTAGACTACCAGATACGACTCTTTGAAATATTTGTTTATCTTTCGTACGTTTTAATGCTGAATAGTTATAACTTTTCACTAAGCACATCGCAAAATATAGCTTTTTTGACAACTTCCTTTCTCGTATCAGGCTTATCTAACATTTTTAATATCTTCGTATTAGGTGTGTCCTTAACATTTCTTTTTTTCCTATTTTCAAGTCTTCCCAATCTTTTTTGTATTTCTCAAGTTCTTTCTGTAAACACGCGATCTTTTCATTTCTTTCTTTATTATATTTTTGTCTTTTCCTTTTGGCTTGCCTTTTCCTTTGCAGTGAACTAATATTGGGTATTGCTGGACTTAGAGCTACAGAAAGCTGATTTGGAACTGGAGTAAGCTGTCTTGAAGCGGGAGTATCTACTTCAGGATCTGATAATGGTGTATTTTCACGCATAAATGTATTAGTAACGCTGTTCAATCTCTTTCGTTTAGATCGGTATACAGTGCAGTGTTCTTTCCATGTCTTTAAGGCAGCCCTGTGTTCACGTTGTGTCATGTCTTTCACTAATTTTCTCAAACCTTTTTCTTTATTTTTCTGATATTTTAATCTCTCCTTTTCTTTAATTTCTTCTCTCTTTAGAGAATCATTTTTTCTACACTGATACCTGCTTGTCTTTTTTTTCTAATAATTCCTCTCGCGATAACTTTGACTTTTTAAGAGCCACCTTTGTGCGTGTGCGATTAACCTGTAACATAATTTGCTTTCAGTGAGGTAAATTAATGCGAAACATATCCTTTTGGGCTTCCCTCTTTCTTATATGAATAAATCTTCAACGAGTGAACTTATTTATGTAAACAAAACCTTTTAAAAATATCAAATTTTATATATTATATATTGCTGGGGAAGGGGACTGTAGCCAGGGGACTGTGTATTTTGGTTTAGTTTCCAAATATTTACAAAACTATTGAAACATGATTCGATACGATGCTACCGACAAATGTGTACACAATCAAAGACATAATAAACAATTTGTATAAATATTTAGACTAATTAACATTATTAAAATTACTTACCAGAGGACTGTATGTCGCAACAACCAACATGCGTATTCACACCACAAATGACGTGCGGACACTAAACAAAATGGCAGACCGACGCCGTTTTCGGCAATGTTACTAACTTCACATTGGTTGCATTTCATTTCACGGAAACAAAAGTTTGTAGACACAACAGATTTTTTCTAGTTTTGCTTTGAATTTTTGACAGGGGACTGTTTAAGAAAACTTAGGACAACTTTAACATGACATTATTACATTTAAAAAATAAGAAACTAAATCTTGTTTTATGACATAAATATAAATTAATTATTCTATTTTTAGATACAAACTGCAAAATATATTTAGTGTTCATAGTTTTTTTTTTTATAATATTATTTCTAAGTAGGAATCCGTAAAATGGGACAGCCAGGGGACTGTGTTTTTAGGGCTTCAAAATTTTTTTGTTTTAAAAAAGGAAGATTGTTATCTTTATAAATACAATAGCACTATAAAAATCAGCGTTTAATGTTAATTAAGAGACATAGTTATATTTCTATGCTTTATTATTTTTGTTTAAAATCGTTCCGGACAGCCGTTTAAGAGCTTACAGAGAATCGCCCATATATAAAAAAACATAAAAGTGAGTTTTTCACAAACTAAAAATTATATTCTTCTTTGGCATAGCTTATTTTAATAAAAAATATTTTTTAAAAACCTTTATATCCTTTATTTTAAAGGCCAACGTAATAAAAAACGGTGGGAGGTGGCTTAATATATTCAGTCTTCATGAGATCCTGGGTAGTTAAAGTCGGCACAGTTTTTACAGTAAAAATGTGCGTGCTCTAAGCATATAGGTACTTCACATTTCTCACAACTGTACTTGGTCTTTCGGTCTTTTCTCCCGTAGCATTCCGAACACCTTGTTTCGGAATGCTACGTGTGATCTTGCTATTTTTTTTAGCGGCTCCTGAGGCGTTTCACCAAATAAATCATATATTCGTTTACGAGAATCATTCGGAATCCGTGGATTGTCTTTACGGTTTCTCAAATGCTCATCTATCGTCATATGTCCTCGCGAGTTTATCCACCATATCCACTCCACTTTTAGTTTTATTGTAGAATGTAATCATGGATGGTTTTTGCTGGTTGCCGGTATCCTCATCTATTTCTTGATCATGATGTAGAGACGACATTACGAATACGTGTTTGCGTGGCTTTGGTACATAAGAAACCAGAGTTATATCCTTTTGGAAACCAAATCTTGAAGAACGTTCCTCTCGTGATAGCTTAAAACACAGTGGAATGCAAGTTTTATTGGCTCTCAAAGTACCTACTACTGTTAGTTTATGTTTGAGTAGTAACTTTTCAGTAGCTTCGTAACTGGTGAAAAAATTGTCCATTGTTATATTTCTTGAAGATCCAGAAACGCAATTCATCACCATACGATCGACGATGTCATAGGGTTTGTTGCTGACCGCGAAAGGACTATTATCTGGTTGTTTACCACAGTAAATCTCTAAATGCACGGTGTAATATGATTTTGCATCTACTAAGGCATATATTTTTATTCCATATTTGGGCAGGTTCAGATGGAATATATTGGCGGAAACCACATCTACCCCGAAAGGCAACTCACTCTTCATCTAGTGTTAGGTATTCAAAAGGTGTATACGCATTTCGACAACTTTGGACAAAGATCTCGAAAATGTCTCGGATTGGTGCCAAACGATCAGTCTTTATTCTTTCTTCCCTTGTCGCAATATCATCAAATCTCAAATTATTGAGTAAAAACGAGAATCGATTTTTCGACATTTTGCAACGAAATATTTCAATTCCTGTACCATCATGAGCCCATAAATCATTGAAGTTTTGTCTACTAGATCGATACAATCCAGCTAAAAATAAAAGCCCTAAAACAGCTTTTATATCAGATTTAGTTGTTTCAAAATACAGCGCATTTATGTTTTTGCCATCTGATGACTGTGGTTTAGATAAGCATATTCTTACGTAGGTATATTTTACAACTATCTCTAGTATTTCATTGGAAATAAATGCTTCAAAACAGTCCAAATGGGGTTTTTTGTCTTTATATTGACTCTTTATTTTATTTTCATTTCTTGTACGAATATTAGTCCTTAGCGGTTCCTTTAGCCATTTAGTTTTGCAGTCTTTACCCATATAAAACTGATGAGAACTAGAAAAGTCACCACCCGAAGTAATTTTTTCTTCTTCTTCTTCACTTTCACATTCAGACTGCACACTCAAATGATCCGATTCATCTTCGCTTCCAGGTAAAAAGAGCTCGTCCAAATCGTCGTCACTTTCTTCCACAAGAGCAGATGCTATTGCATTGTCACTCATTCGAGGAGCCATTTCAAATCCAAGGTACCTGTTGATAACACGTTAACATAAAAAAACTGTCAAAAAAAGTAGAAAATAGTATAGTTTTATTGTATTTTACAAAAACATACTACTTACGTTTTAGACGACGTCCCAAACCACGTGGGGTTTGTGAGACCCTGAAGCACTTTGGATACGTCTGTCCGCTGCGCCCGCGACATGTTTACTAAATTGCTGTCACTAGGTTAGCTCACTAGGCGGTTTGGCAACGTCGCAACTCCAAGCGTGTGAATATTTAAAGACTTACAGAAATTTTTGTTTCGCTGGGGTTTATTAGACTCCACATGGTGTACGGAAGGTTAAGGTAATGTAAAAACTATAAACCCTTTAGATTCTCCACTGAAGAACTCTATAAATTCTGTGAACTCTGTCTGTGAGAAAATTGTACATTTTATTGACTTGTGTAAAATTACACAAAACCATTTAGGTCTGAATTACTACATAAGAGAAGAAAAGATAAAGAGTCGCAACAGCCAATCATGTAAAAACTAAATTTGCCAAACAACAATACTCTACACATTCTGTATACTCGTATATTTATAATAAGTTAAATGGACAAATTGGTTTTTTCAATTAAAATCGTGCGTATTAAAGGAAACTAAGTAATGAAATGACGCACCATGATATAGAATTAATGCTTCAAGAAATTAACTGAATTAAACACACATACACACACCATATGCTTGCACGCACATTAATACTATTAAGATTGTTGTTTTTCTTTTCTTTTTATTTATTTTTTCAAATTTTAGAACGATCAAATTTAGATACGGAAGACCAGGGCCTCCTGGCACAAGTATACATACTACTTAAAAGGTTTGGCCCCAACCTTTGATTGTAATAAAACAACAAGTTTTCTATTGTATTAGAATTTTAAATTATTCATCAATTATTGGATCGCAACACAAGCTAAACATCTTAAAAAAGATCGGGTTGTCAGACGGGCGAATCTTCCGTTAACAAATTCAACTGCTTCAGTTATTATTTGCCGTAAGTTCAGCTACGTTTTCCATTAACTATGAGTAAACTTTTTCTTTCACCGCAACCCAGTAAAAAAATCTAGTGGATTTAAGTCAGGTGAACGGGCTGGCCACGAGATTGTACCCCTAACCATCTGCACGTGTATTTCTCATTGAGATATTCTCTAACTGACGTGACGTGAATACACGTGGTAGAGCCATGCTGCATATTAGTAGTATAGTTGTAGCACGTAGGGTCTGCTCGACCGGGGAAGGACCACGCTCTCACAGAATACCAGCGTAAAATAAAAAAAGCTTAACACTGCTGTGTTTCGTATGGTGAGTGTAGAGAACCGGATACCAATTTTACTGGAAAAGAGGCATTCCATCTTAGTCCTCACGGGTGACGACGCATCTGCATTTTGATTATTTATTGAGGATAGATGTAGATGTCTATAGGTCACAGCAACCACTTACGATCAGGTGTATTGTGTACTCGTTTGTCACCCTATCCTATAAAAAAAGGGAATAGTGTGCATGGCAGCCGTCTTGCTGGAACAACATGTCTCTGTAAATGCTTAGTGGCACGTATTCCAACAAATTTGGTAAATGATTTTGTAAAAAATCCAAATAAACTTCGCCATTCAAGACTTCTGGCAGCTCAAAAGGTCTAATAATTTTTCCATTTAAAATTTCGGTCCGCATGTTTATTTTGTGTGGATTTTCTGCATGCCACTATGCCATTTGTGTAAGTTGTGTAGATTCATGTAACCATCTCTTTTAAATGTCGACTCATCAGACCATAACATTTTCTCGAAGAATCTCTGATCTTCCCGGTGTCTTTGTATCATAGTTTGATAAAACGCAACTCTTGGTTTTATTGCAAGATTCGGTGGACAATACTTTTGGGTACTTATGCTTGCTTCAATTACACATACTGAAGTATTCGGGTTTTCTTCGATTACTTGTAGTACAATGTCCTCGTAAGGAAAAAAAATCTTCCTTTGCCATGTGCTTGGTTTGGGAATCGGACATCTGGGAGTATACGATTGCATATTTGTAAAAATTCGATGATCTGGATGACGAACAGCATTTGGGTACCTGTCACAATAAACTCTAGCTGCAGTACTAGCATTGCCTCTGAATTATCCATAAATAAAATGCATGTTGGCATATTCCTGTATGGTGTACACCATGAAGCAAATACAAAGAGGAGACGTTCCAATTAAAGTTCACTATGTAACAACTAACAACGCGTGACAATTTGCGGGGTGAGGGGATGCAATGCCCCGCCCACTTTACACTATCTAGATCTACCGATAAATAGTAAAACTACTCGAATCGTTTCATATCGATGTTGCAATGTAGTTTAGCTACCTTGACGGTAGATGGCGGCCTGTTCACAAAATGATTATAAACTATAAAAATAATATTTTAGCGATTAAAATTTCTTTATGTCTGAATGCAAAACAAATTTCAGCACCTTCGTATGATTATTTTACCAATACTGAGCTCTACGTACCTTTAGATTTTTAGTTCACATGACACAAAGTGTCGCCATCTAGTGTCGAATATATTTAATTATATTTGAAAGCCGACGCAAAGAGATTTTTCTAGAACTATTTTAATAAATTAGGTTTAAAATTACTTACAAATGAAATGTGATGCCATCCAAAGCATCAGAGCGTCTATCTCATGAAGTAAATACATTCAGACAAAGAAATTTTAGTCGCTAATATATTATTTTTATAGTTTTCATAATAATTTTGTAAACAGGCCGCCATCTATCGTCAAGTAAAAGTCATAAAAAAAAGACAGGACCGTAATTATTAGAATTCAATTATTTTACCCAGTAACCCAACATTCAATATTAAAATGAAGGAAATTGTACTTATGCTGTTTTACGAAATGTTTAAGTTATATTTAAGTGACATTACATATGCAAAGAATCACTGAAATACAATTTAAATATGTTTATCATTTCGTAAAAGTCAACCTTCAAGAAGTATTTATTTTATCCTTAGTAAAATAAAGTCTCTTTGAAACTAAATATTCTATGTTCAATATTTAGTAGGATATTTAATTTGGAACTAAATATCCTACTTATCTCACTAATATTATAAAAGCGAACGTTTGTGTGTTCTTTCTGTCTCCTTGACCTTATTCCACACTAAGTATGTACTGTGTAAATTGATTACCACGTACTAGGGAAGCCATTCCGAACATTGACTATGTTCAACTGAACTGTAGTGCAATCCATACAAACTAAATATTGCGTAAATTGAAGATTTGTGAATTCCATAAAATAATTATTATTACATTTTATTTAAAAATATGTTTGTTTAGATTAAATTAAGATATTTTATATTAAATTCTTATATTTATTTTATATTAATATCTTATTTTATATTAAATTAAAGTCTTCGCGCATGCGCGACTACTACTCCCGCGCATGCGCGAAGACATAGAGTAGGACACAATTTTTGTTTGAAATGGCTTCTCTAGTACGTACCGTAAAACCGGCCATCATTGCCCTTAGCGGATATCTTTGCCCGAACACGAAAAATAACTTAAATCTTGAATTGTAAATAAATTTACACAGCTGACAACATTTTTCAATATTTAGCGTAAATTAGAATATTTTTTTGGCAACACTAAATGCTCGTGACGTTTCAAAGTTCACTCAGTTATCGGCAAGACATGTCGGAAGTAGGACTAGTGTGAGGTGGTGCAAAAATCTTGTTTTACTTTTTTTCACACTGTCAGCGTACGACATCTCTCAGGTAAGTTATTTTAAGTTTAGTGTTACAATAAGTGCTACGCTTCATTTCTATGCTAGTTTGAGACCGTTAAATCATACAATTTTCAAGATAACGGGGTGGGCAATGATTCCCGAAGTTGCGTGAACACAGGAGTGACAACATTGCCCACTTCAAAAATAGTCTTATGGTTGGCACCCATACTAAATATAAAATCTGTTTTTATTTTATATTTACGGTTGTATGATTGTCATGGTGTGGACGTGTGATGCGGGAAAATTATGAACATGTTACGATGACAGTTTGATCGGCTAAAAAAACAATTAATGGATTGTGTTAAAGATGATTTGGCTAGAAAGCGGGTGAATACTGGTATGATGGCAGATAAATACAATACAAAAAATATTTGTGTATTGTAGTGTCTATGTCTCAATAACTAGTCACTTTGTTGGAAAACAGAAACTATAGTTTAGTATGTTTTTTTTTTTTGCAGTTTGGGAAAGCCTATTAAAAGAAGAAATCGCAGAGTCCTTGGGTCTCGGCCATATAAAAATTATTCAGAGGAGATGCTGCACCTCGCAGTAGAAAATGTTAAAGAAAATAGGATGTCCTCTAGAACAGCCGAAAAAACATTTGGTATACCTAGGCGTACCATCCTAAACAAAGTGAAAGAGTGCCATAACAAAAATGTTGGAACTCCTACTCGACTCTCTTTCCAAGAGGAAAAGAGTATTGATCAAGCATTGATTGCAGCCGGCGAATATGGTTGCCCACTAACGAAGCTTGATTTACGTTTGACTGTTTTTGAATATCTGAAGAAAAATAATCGTGAAATTTTATTTCATGGAAAACCACCAGGCAAAGACTGGGTTACAAGTTTTCTTGATCGGCATGCAGGTGAACTTTCTGTTAGAAGTACGCAAAATATTAAAACAGCGCGAGCTCAAAAAAGCGCGAAGGATTTCTTAGAATATTTTCAGAATTTAGAAGAAACTATAAGAGATGTTCCTCCATCTAATATTTTAAATCTAGATGAAACTAACCTAAACGACGACCCAGGTTCTTCTAAGTGCATATTTCGCAGGGGTGTAAAATATCCTGAGCGAGTCCTTAACTCCTCAAAAGGCGCCATTTCGCTAATGTTTTCTGCGGCAGCCAACGGTACTAGTCTATCTCCTTATGTGGTATATAAGGCAGACAATTTATATTCGGAATGGATTCAAGGAGGCCCTCGTGGTGCAAGATACAACCGAACATCATCCGGATGGTTTGATTCCACAATATTTGAAGATTATTTTAAAAATGTTGTATTGACATGGGCAGGGAGTTTGAGTGGTAAAAAAGTAGTCATATGTGACAACTTGTCCAGTCACTTAAGTTTAGGCGTCATTGAGTTATGTCAGGATCACAACATTTCTTTTGTGTTTATTCCTCCTAATTCTACACATCTCACCCGACCCCTTGATGTGGCTTTTTTTGCGCCCCTTAAAAAAGCCTGGCGCAAGATCTTATTACAGTATAAAATGGAAAACCCAAATCAAACGGCAATCAACAAAAACCACTTCCCAAAATTGCTTACGCAATTGATTAAAACAATTGAAATGAACGAGGTACAAAACATAAAAAGCGGCTTTAGAGCCACTGGGATATACCCTTTTAATCCACGTGAAGTTTTGAAAAAAATCCCAGAATGTGCCGAAGAAATGGGCAATACTCATAATATTGACAGTGCTTTATTAGAATATTTAAAAACTACCAGACAATCTAAACCATTGACATCAAATAGAAACAGGAAAGTCGTGGTTGAACCTGGAAAATCAGTTACAGTTGATGATATTCAAAACCGCACTAAAGACACTAAGAAACGTTCCGCAAAAAACAAATCTGCTGTAATAAGAAGTACCGCTGTTCAAACAGCTAAAAACCAGAAATAGAACGATACACCTTCAACGGCAAGTGTCGGCAAAGAGAACCAAATTTTAGATCAATTCAAAGACGAGCTAGACTTCTGTGATAACTTCTCTTTATCATTCTTGGCAGACAAAAACAGCGTCAACGAAAATGATACAATTGATGATATAAGAAATAATGACGAATACAATATAAACACATATACAACAGCAGATCAAGCTTTACCAACTTTTACTGAACTTGACATATTAGACGAAAAAAACGGAACTTTACTCTCACAAATTACACCCACATTATGTGAAATAAATGCTTCAAGCGGTATCATTATTCGTGAATGTGCTCGGACAAATATTATTTTGAAACCAAAGAATCATGGTTCGTGTGAAGAAAACACTAACCTATTGAAAACTGAAAAACAAAAACCAAAGATTGTATCTTGTGTAACTATACCGTCTACAAAACGTACGTCAAATATTATTTACCAAAGCGATTATGATAAAGAAAATATTGAAACTAGACAAACGATAGCAAAACAAAATGATTTTTCTTTTTACATAGAACAGTCTAGAAATAGTTTCAACAAAAGCGGAAAAAATTAAAAAAACAAAAACTTCCAATGTTAAGCTGCGACCAAAGAAAATAATTAGAAAAGACTTTAAAGTTTCCAAAGAAAAAAATATGAAAGGCTTAAAGAAGAAGTTGAAACGAAGAGACAGTAAATCAAGCAACAGTGATATCGATATGAGTATTCACAGTGATTCAGATATATGCGGAATTGTTTCCGATCAAGATGAGCCAGGTTCTCCTTTAGATACTTATTATTCTAATTTATCTATAGGCAGTGAAAACAAAGTAGCACTAGGAATGGTGTCGACTATCACTAAAACAAGTCCTAATTTATGTTTGAATGAACCACTTGTTCCTGTAACAGTAGATCATTTTTCAGAACCAGGGCCCTCGACTATTTCAACGAGCGAAGAAGTTTCTGTAGAGTATAAAGTAGGCGAGTATGTTTTGGTTAGATACTTTTTTACAAAAAAAGTGGATTATTACGTGGGAATCATTTTAGACAAGCCAAAAAATGGAAAGTTGAAAGTATCTTTCTTAAGAAAAGTCGGCAAAAATGACAACTCAAAATTTATAAAAGTAAAATCACCGGATATCGAAGTAATAGACTGTAAGAATATTGTCAAGACTGTTAAGCTTCTAGCTATTAATGACGCCGAAACTGATTTTGTACTTGCTGATGATGACGATTACATTTATTTTGATTATTAATAAACTTATAGAAGTTACAACTTCTCAGAAGTTCTTATTTACTACGAACTTATTGTTTTTGTGATAATAGTTTTTGTTATTGTTGTGAAGAATAGTAATTTAAGAGTCAATTTAGTTTTGAAATATCTACGTGCTGTGACAACAACCAAATATTTTTTATAAAGTTCCTTTATTAAGACTGTTGGTTAAAGTAAAAAATATAAGGTGTAAACAAATATATTGAAATATCTACTACACGATTAAAATGTATGAAACAGCTGATTTTTTTAGAAAATTTTTATGTAAAAGTATTTTGTTTGCACACTATATTTATAGGTTAATTTTTTCTTTCTAAGGTTAGTTATTTGTTTCTCTGTGTCCGGGAAGCGTTGAATTTTTTTTTCTTTCTAAGATTTTGTCGGAAACCTTTCCGGGCGCAAAGCGCATAATACTTATAACTGCAATGTATAACTATTGTACCTGACTGATTTTTAATACAAAAATTTAAAATATGAAAAGATATTATTATTTATCACATTATGTGACAACCCTAAGCCACCGTTTTAGTTTGTAAGAAAATGTAGCTGGTGTGTAGTATAATTGCCCACCCAAGTGAAATAAAAAATAAAAAGTTTTTGACATTTAGATCAAGAAGAATGGCAACTTTGCATAATTTACCATAACATACTTTATTTCCAAAGTCTTAGAACTGATAGTTTTAGAAAAAATAAGGCTGAGCAATGTTGGACGGTTGTGCGTATAATTTTGCCCGGCTATTTAAACGCGTTTTTCTTGAATTCTGTTGAAGCCAGGTTCTCAACATTTTGTGATTTAAAGCCTATAATAGTAATTGCTATATTGATTAACTTTATTACGCGTTCTGGTAAATAATTTTTTCAAAATCTCAAAATTAAGTAAAATTGCGGGCAGTGATGGTAGGTTTTACGGTAGTACATATAACTCAATGACTGTGTATGTGTTTTTATTTCACGCAGAAACGGCTGGAATATTATTTATTTGTGTGGGTTACTACTTAATATCTCTGAGGGAGAACAATTAATAGACAAATTATTATGATTAATATAATTTATTTAAAAATATTTAATTCCAAATTAGGCATCCGAATGCACTTTTTGAATGCCAATCTAAGAAAAAAAAATAGACGCGCTCACGGTGAATGAACGCGATTTCGTTCGAAAACTTATCTTGTCACTGACACTCGCTCTTATTAACTTTTCACCGTTATTAACATAATATACTCGATTAACGCTATCGCAAAGTTATTTGAATTGTTTTGTAGCGCTCGCACTCGACATACAGTATTAATAAATAACTAAAAATAACTGTTTTGGTTAGTTGCTGTCGGTTTGTTGCCCTATCGTTTTCTATGATTGCAAAATGCTTAAAACGAATATCTATATATTTTTCAACTATAGATTTAATGAGAAGTATAACGTGATTTTCAGTCGGTGATTGGTCAAACATATGATTGAACGATTGTTTGAAATAATCTTGTCCAATAAGAGACTTTAATGTATTCGATACAATTTTATGTTTACTGAAATTAGGAGTGTTCAAAGATTGTGATTTAACACAACGGATGCTGCATTCGGTTCGTATGTATATATTTATGACCATAGATTACTGTACCTATATATACTAGGGATTTATGACATATTTAGAAGGAAAGTAAGACCACCTTTATTTTTAATGTTTATCAAAAAAAGGGCATCATCATCGTAATCATCAGCATATAATTCATGAAGGCAGCTCTCACATTTGATCTTGGAATGTAAATAATTAACTACATACCCAGAAATATATGCAACAATATGACGGCGCAAATAATGACCTATCATTGTATTTAATTGCGCATCAAATTCTAACAGCAAATCATCAGGCATAGGTTCGACATCCATGCCATCTAATGATTCCTCACTCATGTCATTTTTCAAAATTCGATAACGTTCTGGAGTAATATTAATTTTTTTCACGGAGGATTCATTCAAAATATCAATATCCTCTAAAGGAATACAATTTCCTCCGAAACCCTCTTTCAGTTCTGTATTTATCAGAATTTTTTTTGTAAGCTGCTTTAAACTGACGTGAGGTTGGATTATTATTTTCCCTTCTATGTGGCCTTATTACCCCAAAAAATAGTTCTAAATGATCTTGCGAAAATCTGTATAGAGTAAGATATTTTAATATATTTACAAGAAAATTGTGCTACTGATACATGTTAAAAGACCCACAAAGCCAGTTTTTCGGGTTGTAGCGATAACAGGCTTATCTTCATCAGGAGCTACTAATAAACATTAAGTAATATTTAGCGTATTTCAAATAATCTTTTTCTTTTCATTATATTATTTTCAAATAAGGGCTTTTTATGTTCATTCTGACACATGTTTCTGTAGTTGAGGATGTCTAAGATATTGTTAACTAGGCGGATAAAATTAGTTGTTGCTGCCGCATTTTTGAATTCAACGTTACTTTTTTCACAAACGTGGAGTGCGTCGGCTACGCTATTACTAAAACGTAACTGGCTAATTTTACTTTCATTTTTTGTTGCTGAAAATGTATATGCTTGTCTCTTAACTTGTTTCCGAGATGTAGGCCTTCAGATTTTTGTAAGTTATTAAGCTTGACGAGATAAGACCATTCAATATAATTGCCCTGATAATCAGGAAACCTCCTTTTATTTTCTAAGGCGTTGCGCACTAGTTTTAGCATGTGGCATGCGTCGAGAATACTGCTACTTCGTAGTTAGCACTAGGGTGTTTAAAAATAGATTTCATTTTCTGAGGTTCTAACGAACATCCTGACTTTGTAAGCATAGCAATATTTGCAGCGCAACCACCTATCGTTAGTGAAACAACGTCTACACCATTTTCTTGGAATTTGTAGAGACACTGTTGAACTATTGAGGCCCGTTGTTTTCCGGTCATAGAACGAGTCAGAAAAAAAACCCGCAGGTAATTTCCACCGTTCTGTTTGAGATACAAGCAACAGAACTAAAGTTTGAGACGTCTGATCCGAGTAATCCTTTTGCACGTCATTAAGCCCGAGATCACATTTTTACGTGGTAGAGCCATGCTGCAGCTATATTAGTAATATATTTGTAGCACGAATGGGTCGGCTCGACCGGGGAAGGACCACGCTCTCACAGAAAACCAGCGTAAAATAGCAGCTTAACGCTGTTGTGTTTCGTATGGTGAGTGTAGAGAACAGGAGACCCTTTTTACTGGCAAAGAGGCATTCCATCTTAGTCCTCACGGGTGACAACGCATCTGGATCTTGAGTCTTTATTGAAGATAGATGTAGATGTCTACGGGTCACAGTAACCACTTACCATCAGGTGGACTGTGTGCTCGTTTGTCACCCTATCCTATAAAAAAAAAAAGATCAACATAACCATGATATTTATTTCCGTCCCATTCAACATGCTTCTTAATAGCCATTTCATTCATCATAAGACTGCCCAAAGCGCGTTTGCCTGATGAGTTGGTTTTGTGCTTCAATATGTTAAATGCTTCAGCTGTAAATCCAGCTTCACCATAGGCACTTTCATACCATTTAGAAATAGTTCTCGGATGCGGTAACTATGTATAGAAAGTTTTTCTGACGTATAAGTACGCATTTGGTGAAAAATAATGAAGCGTCAAAGCGAATGATCTGAGAGCTGGAGAATATTTCTTTTTCAAATTAACTTTTTTAATTTTTGATAACTGACGCCCAACCAAGTCTTTCAACTTTACATTTATTGAAG